CCGAGCCAGGAAAGCTCCTGGAAAAGCCTGGGAAACGTCTGAGGGAATAAACATTGGGAGAAGGAGCTGGAGCCAGGCTGGGAAATCTGGGAATGTTTTCTTCTGCAGAGGAGAGTGGGAAAGGGAGAATGGGGTGGGATTTTGGGAATGAGGAATTTCTGGCTGTGCTGGAATTCCCAGAGCAGCTGGGGCTGCCCCTGCATCCCTGCAGTGCCCAAGGAAAGGCTGGAGCAGCCTGGGATCATGGGAATTTCCCTGCCCTTGGAATTCGATGGGATTTCCGCTCCATTCCCACCCAAACCATTCCAGGATCCCTTTCCCGAGGGCAGTCCCAGGAATCCTGCTGCTTTTCCCTCATTTTGGCTCTTTCCCAGCTTGGAGCAGGGATTGGAGGACGTTCTGCACTCCCGGCATTCCCGAGGCTCGGGAATTCCTGTTTCCAGCTGGAAATGGGCTTTCCCCAGGATTTCCCGCTGGGATTGGTGCCTCATTCCTGCTTTTCCCTCCTGGATCCCTCAGCCAGAATTCCCTGGATTTGCCTGTCCTGATCCATCAGTTCCAGGATCCTGCTGCTCTCCCAGTGCTGGAGGTTGCAGGAAAAGGGAATTTCTCCCTGATTTTCCTATGGAATGTGCTCTGCCTTTTTTGTTTGTTTGTTTTCCCTGCTTTTATCCCCTGGAATGTTCTCATCATCATTCCCAGGTTATGGAAAAGAGGGAATAGCAGGAAAAGGAACATTCCAGCACAATCCATCCTGCTTTTGATCCCTTTGAATCCTTTCCAGCTCTGGCCATTCCAGGATTTTCTGTCCTCTGGCCTTTGCCAGGATTGAGGGATATCCATGCTTGGGAATTTCCTGGGAATCTGCTGAATCCAGGTGCCTCTGGATCTCCCCAATCCCCCCGGGATCCTCGCTGTATTCCCAACACGCTGGAATTGGCTCCCTGAGGAATCTGGGATCTGTGGGATTTGGGAACAGCTTTCCCTATCCCATGGCTGTGCCAGGAGCTGGAATTCCCTGGATCCCAGTGGATCTGGATGGGATTGATCCCAGTTTTTGGGAATGGGCCCCTTGGAACTATTCCCAATATTCCCGTTTTTTATCTTTAAGGGCCGTTCCAGGGCCACATTCCCTTGGGAATTCTGCTCCTGTGACTCCCACCCCGCTGGAGCTGCCAGGAATTCCTTGGGATAAAGGAGAAGTGCTGGGAATGCTGCACTGGGAATTTGGGAAAGATTAATTGTGCTGGGATTCATCCCAGTTTTGCAGGTGGGATTGGCTCTGGGAAGGTTTGACTGGGAATTCTGGGGGGGCTGGGAAATCCTGGCAATCCAGCCCATGGAAAACCCATTCCCACTGTGGGAATCCCTCTCTGTGTGGGATCCAGGTCCTCGGGAATAGGGAAGGAAAATGGGAATGAGGAAGGGAGAGGAAATCCTGGATCACGGGAAGGATCCGGAACCTTTGGATCAGCAAATCCCATTCCCAGGCTCCTTCCGGCCCCCCAGTCCCAAAATTCTGCTGAGGCTGAAAATTCCTCGGGAACGTTTTCCTGGCTCCGTCCGTTCCCTCCCTTCCCCGTTCCCTCTGATTGCCGCTATTTTTTCCAAGGAATGCTTGATTAGAGCCGGAACGACGGGATAATGACGGGAATCAAAGCCGGATCCGTTCCCAAATCAGCTCCACAGCTGGAGCCGGCAGGGCAGGAACGGCTCCGGGGATGATTCCTGGATCCACCCGGAGCCATTCCCGGTGCTGATTCCCGGATCCACCCAGAGCCATTCCCGGTGCTGATTCCTGAATCCATCGGATTCATCCACAGCCATTCCCGGTGCTGATTCCCAGATACATCCACAGCCATTCCCAGTGTTAATTCCCGGATCCACCCGGAGCCATTCCCAGGGCTGACTCCTGAATCCACCCAGAGCCATTCCCGGTGCTGACTCCTGAATCCATCGGATTCATCCGGAGCCATTCCCGGTGCTGATTCCCGGATCCACCCAGAGCCATTCCCAGTGCTGATTCCTGGATCCATCCAGAGCCATTCCCAGTGCTGATCCCCAGATCCATTGGATCCATCTGGGCCCATTCCCAGGGCTAATTCCTGGATCCCTCTGGATCCATTCTCGGTGCTGATTCCTGGATCCATTGGATCCATTCCCAGTGCTGATTCCTGGATCCATCCGGAGCCATTCCCGGTGCTGATTCCCGGATCCATCCACAGCCATTCCCAGGGCTGATTCCTGGATCCATCCGGAGCCATTCCCAGTGCTGATCCCCAGATCCATTGGATCCATCCGGATCCATTCCCGGTGCCAATTCCCAGATCGATTGGATCCATTCCCAGTGCTGATTCCTGGATCCAGCCGGAGCCATTCCCAGTTCTGATTCCCGGATCCATCCGGATCCATCTGGAGCCATTCCCAGGGCCGATTCCTGGATCCCTCTGGATCCATTCCCGGTGCTGATTCCCAGATCCGTTGGATCCATCTGGATCCATTCCCGGTGCTGATTCCCAGATCCATTGGATCCCTCTGGATCCATTCCCGGTGCTGATTCCCAGATCCATTGGATCCATCTGGATCCATTCCCGGTGCTGACGGATCCAGCCGGATCCATCTGGGGCCATTCCCAGGGCCGATTCCTGAATCCCTCTGGATCCATTCCCGGTGCTGATTCCCAGATCCGTTGGATCCATTCCCAACCCTCATTCCCTACATGGAACGTGGATTCCCTGCTGGAATTCCAGGCTGGTCCAGGCCCTGTGGGATGAGGATGGGAAGCGTTGGAAGAGAGGAGGAAAAATTGGGAATGGCTGTGGGAGGGAAGGAGAATCCAGGGAATGAAGGATGGGAAAAGAGGGAACCACCTCGAGGGGAGATTGCCGTTGGATTTTGGGAATATTTTTCCATGGAAATGGCGGGGTCAGGACTTGGAAGGGGCTGCCCAGGGAGATTTGGAGTGAAGCCCCAAATCCCAAATTCCTTCCTGGGAGGCCGGAATTCCAAAGGGCTCCAAAGCAGGAATTTTCCAGGAGTAGCTGCTGGGAGCAGAGCAGTGGGAATTGAGCAGAATCTGGGATTTGGGATCATTCCAAGGCCTGACAGCACTGGAACCTTTGGAGAGCTGGAGAATTTACATCCCAAAAAAATCCCCTGGAGGAGCCTGAAAGGATTTTGCTGTTTGGCTTTTCCTCGGATTTGTTTTTCCTTGGATGCCTCCAGGCAGGATTTAATTCCTGGAACCTTCTGGGAATTCTTTGGGATGGATGGAACAGGTTTTGATTTCCGGATGCCTGAAGAAATTTGGGATTAGCTCTGATGGATCCATGTGGACAGGAGCTGGAATAAAGCTGGGGGGCATCAGGAGAAATGCAGGAATGGGGCAGCAAATCCCACAGGAATTCCCGTTTTTTTTTCCTTTTACTGAATCCTGGGATAGTTTGGGTGGCAATGGAGCAGAAATCCCGTTCCAAGGGCAGGGAAATTCCCACAATCCCGGAGTGCTGGCCCTGGACACTTCCAGGGATCCAGGGGCAGCCCCAGCTGCTCTGGGAATTCCAGCACAGCCAGGAATTCCCAATTCCCAGAATCCCATGACATTCTCCGTTTCCCAGGGAATTCCCTCCATTCCCAGCTCTCCCAGCCATTGGTTGGGATGGGAGCAGAGGGAAAACTGGGAAAAATGGGATTGGTCGGTATGCTGGAATTCTGTCCAGAATTCCCAACGGAATCACCAGGGTGCTCATTGGGGCTGGGGTGGAATTCCAGTCATGGATTCAGCATCAGGAAATGGAGGGTCTGGGATGGTGGAGGGGTGGGAGCAGAGGAAAAGCTGGGAGAATTGGGATTGGTCAGTTGGAGAAGGTCGGTGTCCCGGAATTCCCGACGGAATTCCCAACGGAATCACCAGAGCGCTCCTTCGGTGGGGTGGGGAATATGGTCATTGTGTCCCAAGGAATCTGCTCTGGTCATGGATTCCTCATCAGGGAATGGAGAATTTGGGATTGGTTGGGATGGGAGCAGAGGGAAAACTGGGGAAAATGGGATTGGTCAGTTGGAGAAGGTCAGTATCCCAGAATTCTGGCCAGCATCCCACGGCATTCCATCCCATCCATATCCCATGGATCCCATCCCATCCCTTCTCCAATCACTGAGTCCTTCCTGATGATTTTCCAGCTGTCCATTATCCCAGAAAAAAACAGGATGATCCTTTTCCATGGATTTAATCAGGATTCTGAAATCCAGGCTTTTCCCAGAACTTTGGGATAGATTTCTCCCCCGTCCCTTGGCCAAGCAGATCCAAGCACATCCCAGATTTATTCCAGACCCAAATTGCCAAGGATTTCGGTCATGGATTCATGGAATGTTTAGGTTGGGAAGGGCTTTAAAGCCCATCCTGATCCCATTCCCTATGGAAACCTTCCACTATCCCAGATTCCTTCAGTCCCATCCCATCCCATCCCATCCCATTCCATCCCAAAAATCCCATCCCGTGGATTCCATCCTGTGGATTGCATTCCAACCCATAAATCCCATCCCGTGGATCCCATTCCATCCCATCCCATAAATCCCATCCCATGGATCCCATAACTCCCATGTAATGGATCTCTTTCCATGAATCCTATCCCATCCCCTGGATCCCATCCCATGGGTCCCATTCCATCCCATCCCATAAATCCCATCCCATGGATCCCATCCCATCCCATCCCATCCCATAAATTCTATCTCATGGATCCCATAACTCCCATATAATGGATCTCATCCCACAAATCCCATTTCACCCCATGGATCCCATCCCATGGATCCCATAAATTCCATCCCATGGATCCCATCCCCTGGATCCCATCTCATGGATCCCATAAATTCCATCCCATAAATCCCATCCCCTGGATCCCATTCCATCCCCTCCCATGCCATAGATGCCCTGGATCCCATCCCATAGACCCCATGGATCCCATGCCCTGGATCCCATCCCGGCTCCTTCCCGTTCATTTCAGCCGCTGCGTGTCCCTGCGGATCCCGGCTGCTCCCGGCTCCATCCATCAGCTCCGGAGGCTCCGTGACGGCTCCATTAAAAGCGCTGCTATTTTTGGGAGCCGGGAAGGGAACGGAGCCGCTGGGCCGTGGACAGCCCATAAATCCCAGCTTTTCCTCGGGAATGGGATCCGGGAGGGGCTGGGGACCAGGGACAATGTCCGGAGGGATGGGGGGACCGGGAATTCCAAAGGGCTGGGGTGGCAGGAGAAGGAGCAGGAGGAGGGAATTCCTGAATTCCCGGTGGAATGGGAAGTGCCAGGAAAGGCCAGAGCTGGATGGATCAGCTCATGGAACTGTCAGCGTGTAGGAATTTGGGATCTGGGAATTTGGGATCTGCTGGGAATCCTTTCCTTTCCTTTCCTTTCCTTTCCTTTCCTTTCCTTTCCTTTCCTTTCCTTTCCTTTCCTTTCCTTTCCTTTCCTTTCCTTTCCTTTCCTTTCCTTTCCCCTTTTTTCCCCTTTTTTCCCCTTTTTTCCCCTTTTTTCCCCTTTCCTTTCTCCTTTCCCCATTCCCATCGGGAATCGCTCCTGGATCGGCTCCACAGCTGCTCCCTGCTGCCGTCTCCTGGTGCCGAGCGGGAGCTTCCCGAGCTTTTCCTTTTCCTTGGAATTTCCCTCTGGAATCAGAAACCCCTCGGACCCGTGAGGATTTTCCCAGCCTGATCCAAGTGGGGAATTCCCTGGTTTTATTCCATGTGCTGCCATCACCTGGGAGCTTCCCAGGCTTCTTCATTTCCTTGGAATTTCCCCCTGGAATTCCAGCCGGGAGCCCCTTGGAGCAGTGAGGATTTTTCCCCAGGCTAATCCAGGTGGAGCTGGGAAAGGGCTGGAAAACTCCGGAGGGATCATTCCCAGCTCTTCCCATGCATTCCAAGGTGGGAAAAGCATGGAAGCAGAGCGGGAATGTGGCTGCTCCCTTGGGATTGTCTCCCTCATTCCCAGTTTTCCTCCAAATTCCGGAATTCCCAGAGATCCAGAGACCTCTGGGAGAGATGGAGGATCCCTGAAACATTCCCAACTTTTCCATGGAAGCCGCTCCCTCAGGAATGGTGCCAGGGTCTCCTTCCTTCCCAGTTTTCCTCAGAATTCCGGTGTTCCCGGAGATCCAGTGACCTCCAGGACAGCACAGAATTCCCAGGAGCATTCCCAGCTCTTCCCGTCCATTCTGACATTGGAAAAGGATGGAAGCAGGGCAGGAATGTGGGATTTGGGTTTTCCATAGGGTTGAGTCTCCTCTGTCATTCCAGCCGGGAATTCTGCTGGAATTTCCCCCTGGATGATTTCCAGGAATGGCTCTGACATTCCCAGGAATTCCTCGGCCACACATGGGTCTCACCCCCACGGATTCTCCTCATCCATGGAGAAATTCCCGCCTGGAATGGAATTCCCAGGCTTTGTGGGACCCTTGGGAAGGCGGGAAAAGCCGGGAATAATTTGGGATGTGGATTTTTCCCACAGAAACCAGGGAAGACCGGACCAAGCGGCTTTTCCGGCACTACACCGTCGGATCCTACGACAACTTCACCTCCCACAGGTAAGGAGCCGCGGAATCCCGGGAATCCCAGGAATTCTGGGAATTCCCGTTTCCATGGAAAACCCGCCCTTTTCCTCACGGAGGTTTGGAATTCCATAGGAATGGGATTTTTCTGGGAGTTTTGGGCTGTGGGAGGAATTCCAGGGGGGAAGTCCCTGGGCAGGATCCGAGGTTTTGCGGAATTCTGGGAATGTGGCCGCGTTCCTGGCTCGTATTCCAATGGATGATCCACCATTCTGGAAAAGTTTGGGAATTTTTCCCATTCCTGGCTCATGTTCCAGGGAAGGATCCAAGGTTCTGAAGAAGTTTGGGAATGGGCTCCCATTCCAAGCTCGTGTTCCAATGGAAAATCCTGGGAATGTTTTCCATTCCTACCTCCTATTCCATTGGAGGATCCAACATTCCAGAGAAGTTTGGGAATGTTTCCCGTTCCCAGCTCATTTCCCAATGGATGATACAAGGCTCTGGAGAAGTTTGGGAATGTGCTCCCATTTCTGCCTCATTTCCCAGAGGAAAATCCAACATCCTGGAAAAGTCTGGGAATGTGGTGCCGTTCCAGGCTCCTGTCCCATTGGAGAATCCAAAGTCTGGGAATGTTTCCCATTCCTAGTTTGTGTCCCAGGGGAGGATCCAAGCTTCCAGAAAATTTTGGGAATGTTCTGCCATTCCGGGCTCCTGTCCCATTGGAGAATCCAAAGTCTGGGAATGTTTCCCATTCCTAGTTTGTGTCCCAGGGGAGGATCCAAGCTTCCAGAAAAGTTTGGGAATGTTTCACATTCCTGGCTCACATCCCAAGGGAGGATTCCATGTTCTGGAAAATTCTGGGAATGTTTCCCATTCCTGGCTCATCCCAGAGGATGATCCAAAGTTCTGGAGAAGTTTGGGAATGTGAAACATTCCCAGCTTGTGTCCCAGGGGAGGATCCAAGCTTCCAGAAAATTTTGGGAATGTTCTGCCATTCCTGGCTCCTGTCCCATTGGAGAAGCCAAAGTTTGGGAATGTTTCCCATTCCCAGCTCATTTCCCAGGGGAGAATCCAACATCCTGGAAAAGTCTGGGAATGTGGTGCCATTTCAGGCTCCCGTCCCAGGGGAAGATCCAACATTCTGGAAAAGTCTGGGAACGTTTCCCATTCCTGACTCGTTTCGCAGTGGTGGATCCCAAGTTCTGGAGAAGTCTGGGAATTTTTCCCACTCTTGTCTCAAGTCCCAGTGGAGAATCCAAGGTTCTGGAAAAGTTTGGGAATGTGAGCGCTTTCCCAGGTGGGACAGCAGGGGGACATTCCTGGACTGTGGCTTTTCCTGATGGATTTGGGAACGGGAATGGGAAGGGCTGGATTCGGGAATGTCCCAGAGCTCTGGAATTCCCACAGGGATGAGCAGCTGCTTCCTTTGGAATGGGGACGTTTTCCCTTTTTCCAGGGAAGTTTCTGAATTCCCAAACCCTTTGGAGCTGGAGGAGGGGTTTTTCCTTGGAAGCCAAGGAATTGTGCAGATCCATGGAATTCTGGGAATCTTGGAGCTCATCCACAACATTTTCCTGCCTTTTTTTTTTTTTTTTTTTGCTCCTTATCCCAAATTTTGCTTCCTGGATCATTCCTGACTCCGAGGAATTTGTGGAATTTGGGTGGATCCTCAAAAGTCCCGGGATTTGCTGCTCCCTGGCAGTTCCTGTGGGAAAAATTGGGAAAGAGGGAAAACCGAAGGAAAAATGAAGGGAAGATCTGGAAAATCCCTGCTGGGATCACAGGAAGAGTGGGAAAAAAGTGGGAATTCATGGATGAGGTGAAATTCCATCAGTTCAGTGGCACAAAAAGTGGGATTGAATCCATGAAAATCCCGGGAAAAGGGATTTCCTTTGGGAATCACATCCTGGGCAAACACCAGGAGGAGCTCTTGGCCAGGAGTTGGAATTCCTGGGAATTTTCACTGGGAAAAGATTCCTGGGAATTCCAATGGAGGAGTGGGGCAGGAAGGGGAATTTAAGGAGCCGGATCCAGCATGGAAAACAAACTTGGGAAAATTCCCAAAATTCCACAAATTCTTTGGAGCTGGGAATGCTCACGGGAACAAAATTTGGGATAAGGAGCTCAAAAAAAGCAGGAAAATGTTGTGGACGAGCTCCAAGATTCCCAGAATTCCATGGATCCGCACCATTCCTTGGCCCAAGGCAAATTTAAGAGGAATTTAAGGAGCCGGATCGGGAAAAAACCTTGGGAAGAGCCCAGAGTGGGATTGGATCCACAGGGAGGGCTTGGATTGATCCCACTCCAGGAAATCCTTTGGGAATTGTTGGGATTCCAGGCAGAAACTCCCAGTTAAAATTTGGGGAATCGTTGGAAAAGGGAAAATCCCAAAATTCTGGATTATAGATTCTGTGGAACAGTTGGGAATGATGGAATTGTGGGATCATGGAATGCTTTGGAATGATGGGACGTCCTCAGGAATTTTGGGATAAATCTGGATTGGAGATGAAAAAAACTCCCCTGGGATGGGATTCCCAGCATTCCCAGATTTCCCTTGGAATCAGGAATCCCGAGGAGGAGGAGCAGGGGCCGCTCCGGAGCTGGGATGTGCTGGATGCTTTCAAAATTCCAGTCATTCCCAAAATTTGGGAATGGGAAAAACGGGACAGAGCTTGAAAAAAATTCACCTGGAGGAGACAAATCCAATCTCGGCTTTATCCAGAAGAGAAATCCCAGCGGGAATTGCCTTCGGAATTAAAGACGGGGATTAAAGAGGCTCCAAATTAATTCAGGAATTAAAGCTGGGAGCAGCTGGGAAGGGGAAAAATCGGCAGCAGGAGCCAATCCCGGATTTGTGTTGGGGATTAGGGAGGGGGAAATGGGGAAAACAGGGAAAACACGGAAAACACGGAGGGGGAAAAGGGAATTTCTCAGTCTTGGAATGCTGGAGCTGGAAAAATGTGTGGAGACTGACAATTATGGAATTATGGCCGTTGGAATGATGGGATTATGGAATAATGGAGGTTGGAATTAGGGAATAATGTTCCTGGAGCTGGGAAATCTGGGAATTCCTTCCCGTGTTTCCAAGGCTGGGAATTCCACAGGCGAAGGGAGCTGAGCTTCCATTGGGAAAAGTTTTCCTTGGATTTCCCTGTAATTCCTGAGATTTCCTTGGTGTTGTTGCCTCTCCTCCCATCCCTCTGGAAATCTGGGAATTCCTTCCTGTGTTTCCAAAGCTTGAATTCCCTCATCCAAAGGGGCTGAGTTTCCATTGGAATTCCAATGGAATGGGACCTGGAATGAGATCAGGAATGGGACCTGGAATTCTCCCTGTCCCTGTGGAACACCAGGAATTAAAGGTGGGCTTTGGATCAGGCAAAACTATGGAAAACCCATGGAAAAGGCTTGGAAAAGGAATTCCTGGAGAGGCCACCACCACCTCACCCTTTAGTGACAAGGCTGAGCAGAAAACCTGGAATGGGATCAGGAATGGGATTGGGAATGGTACTGGGAATGGGACCTGGAATTTTCCTGGGAATGGAACCTGGAATTGTCCCTGTGGAATGCCAGGAGTTAAAGGTCAGGTTTGGATCAGGCAAAACTGTGGAGAACACACGAAAAAAGATTGGGAAAAGGATTGGAAAAGGAATTCCTGGAGAGGCCACCACCACCTCACCCTTTGGTGCCCACAGCTGAGTGGAAAACCTGGAATGAGACCTGGAATGGGCTGGGAATGGGAGCTGGAATTTTCCCTGTCCCTGTGGAATGCTGGGAGTTAAAGGTGGGCATTGGATCAAGGAGAACTATGGGAAAAAAGACACGGAAAAAGATTGGAAAAGGAATTCCTGGAGAGGCCACCACCCTCCTGTCCTTTGGTGCCTGAGGCCAAGTGGAAAACCTGGAATAGGAGCTGGAATCCCAGGAATGGGACTTGGAATGGGAGACCTGGAATTTTCCCTGTCCCTGTGGAATGCTGGGAATTAAAGGTCAGGTTTGGATCAGGCAAAACGACGGAAAACCCATGGAAAAGGCTTGGAAAAGGAATTCCTGGAGAGGCCACCACCACCTCACCCTTTAGTGCCCAAGGCTGAGTGGAAAACCTGGAATGGGAGCTGGAATCCCGGGAATTCTCCATCCCTACGGAATGCCAGGAGTTAAAGGTGGGCGTCGGTCTCAGCACCACCCCCGGCAATTCCAGCTCCTTTTAGAATCCCTGGAATCTGCGGGAATCAATGGAGCCGTGATTCATCCCGGCTCCCACGCTTCCCGAGGCTCCGGTGACGGCTCCGGGCTCCGATCCCACACCTGGATCCCACCCACATTCCCGGTGACGCCGATCCCGCTGAGGTAACGCTCCGCCCACATTCCCAAGGTTTGGGGAGCAGCCGGAAAAGCCACCCAGGAGACACCTGGATGAATTCCAGGCTGGTTGGAACAAGCCTGGGGCAACCTGGGATAGCGGGAATTGTCCCTGCCCATGGAATGATCCCGAATCCCTTTTCCAACCCAGATCCTGGGATTCTAAAAGGAAAGGAGGAAATCGGGAAGTAAAATCAGGTTTTGTGGATCCTCTCGGTTATTCCCATGGGAAAACCACTGGAAGGTGTTCGAGCTTCCCAGGAAAATGCTGGAATGTTGGAGTGGCTGGAGAGGGATTCCACTCCCCTGGGAATTTTTTTGATTCCTCAAGGAAAAATAGAGGTCGGCTGAAGCTGCTGGAGAAATCCTGAAATCCATGGAATTCCTCAGGTGGGAAAAGCCCTCCGAGGTCAGCGAGGCCAAGCTGGGCCCCATCCCAGCCCAGAGCTGGAATTCCAGGAATTCCCTGGACACCTCCAGGGCTGGGAATGCACTGCTGAGGTGGAAATTCCATGGGAGAATCCTGGAATGGTTTGGGTGGGAATGGAGCTGAAATCCCATCCAATTCCAGTCCCTGGAATTCTATCCCAGCCCCTCCCCACCTCCCCAGCCAGGAATTCCTTCCCAAATCCCATCTAGCCCTGCTCTTTTTCCCGTGGAATGGGAAAAGCAGCTCCACTGAACCCCTCTGGTGTCCTCGGGCCAGAATTCCCAGTTTTCCATGGAATTGAGACTTTTCCAACCTGTTTTGTCTGAGGAATGGGATTATGGATTCCCCTGGATCCCTGGAAGCTTCCAAGGCCAGGCTGGAGCAGCCTGGGATCATGGAATGGGATGGAATTCCAGGAGCTTGAAGTCCCTTCCCACCCAAACCATTCCATGAGCCCCGGAATTCCTGACACTCCCTGAAAGCAGGAACTGATCCCAAAAGCTGCTGCTCCCAGACAATTCCAGAGGCTTGGGAATGCTCCCAGTGGGATTCCAGAGAAACCTTTCCAGGAAGAGTTTTCCTTCCCTCCCTCCACGTTCCTGTTTCCATGGAATGACACCGCTCCAGCCCGGAGCTTTTCCAGCTTTTTCCATGATTCCATGAATCCCATCCCGCCATTCCAAGAGCAGGGAGCCACCAGCCCACAGCGGATATGTGTTGTGATTCCGGGATTTGGGAAGCGCTGCTGGAGCCGGAAGGATCTGGCAAATGGGAAAACACTCTGGGATTAGGAATTGTCTCCCTATGGAATGGATTCCCAAAGTGTTCCCAGCAGGAATCCGTTCCCTCCCAGTGATCCAGGAAATCCAAGGTTTTCCCGGCAGGGATCCATTCTCTCCTGCTGTTCCCGGTGATCCGAGATTTTCCCTCCGGAGGAGCTGGCAAGGCCCAGCCCCGCCCCTCATTCCCCAGTGGAATTCCAGTCCCTTCCCGTGCCTTGGGAATGGATCCATGGGGAATTCCCGCTGCCAGTGCTCCCCACCCCTCCCATCAATCCCTTCCCAACATTCCCATGATTTCCCATCTCTTCCCATGGCTCCCCGTCATTCCCGTTGTTCCCATTCTCTTTCCATCGCTTCCCAACTCTTCCCATTGTTTTCCAGCTCCTCCTGTCATTCCTGTTGTTCCCATAATTCCCATTGTTCCCTGTCATTCCTATCATTCCTGTTCTTCCCTGTCATTCCCATCATTCCTGTTCTTCCCTGTCATTCCCATCATTCCTGTTCTTCCCTGTCATTCCCATCATTCCTGTTCTTCCCTGTCATTCCCATCATTCCCGTTGTTCCCCATCTCTTCCTGTTGCTCCCCATCATTCCCATTGTTCCCATCACTCCCATCATTCCCACCATTCCCGTTGTTCCCATCACTCCCATTGTTTCCATTGTTTCCATTTTTCCCATCACTCCCCATCATTCCCATCGTTCCCATCACTCCCATCATTCCTCATTATTCCCATTGTTTCCATCACTCCCAACATTCCCCAGCATTCCCAGCGCTCCCACTGATCCCGTTCCTCCCATATCTCCCAGCCCCTCCCCAACATTCCCATTCTTCCCATCTCTCCCCAGCCCTTCCCATCCCTCTCCAATATTCCCAATAATTCCCCGTCCCTCCCCAACATTCCCATTTTTCCCAGCCACTTCCATCCGTCCCCATCCCTCCCATTGTTCCCCATCCCTCCCATCCCTCTCCAATATTCCCAACCATTCCCGCTCTCTCCATCCCTCCTCATCCTTCCCATTGTTCCCATCCCTCCCAATCCCTCCTCATCCCTTTCCAATATTCCTAACCATTCCCCAATATTCCCATCCCTCCCATCCGTTCCCATCTCTCCATCCCACCCCACCCTCCTCATCCCTCCCCATCCCTCCTTATCCCTCTCCAAAATTCCAAATCACTCCCATCTCTCCATCCCTCCCCATCCCTCCCATTGTGCCCATCTCTCCCATCCCTCCCAATCATTCCCATTGTTCCCCTCCCTCCCCATCCCTTTCCAATATTCCAAATCATTCCCCAACATCCCTCCCATTGTTCCCATCCCTCCTCATACCTCTCCAATATTCCCAATCCTTCTCCATCCCTCCCCATCCCTCCGCATCCCTCCCATTGTTCCCATCCCTCCCCACCCTTCCCCAGTATTCCCAAACCTTTTCCATCTCCCCAGCCCTCCGCATCCCTCTCCAATATTCCCAAACCTTCTCCATCCCTCCTCATCTCTCCCATCTCCCCCATCCCTCCCCACCCCTCTCCATCCCTCCCATTGTTTCCATCCCTCCCCACCCTTCCCCAATATTCCCAAACCTTCTCCATCTCCCCATCCGTCTCCATCCCTCCCATTGTTCCTATCCCTCTCCAATATTCCCAAACCTTCTCCATCCCTCCCCATCCCTCTCAGTCACTCCCATTGTTTCCATCCCTCCCCACCCCTCTCCAATATTCCCAAACCTTTTCCATCTCCCCATCCCTCCGCATCCCTCCCATTGTTCCCACCCCTCTCCATCACTCCCATTGTTCCCATCCCTCCTTATCCCTCTCCAATATTCCTAAACCTCCTCATCCCTCCCCACCCCCTCCAGTATTCCCAAACCTTTTCCATCTCCCCATCCCTCCCATTGTTCCCATCCCTCCCCGGGCTCCCTCCTCTCCCCTCCCGCTCTGGCTCCCACTTCCCGGCTCCTTCCCAAGCTGCTTCCCGGCGCTCCCGGATTATCCCAGCTCTGATGTCAGCCCTGCGGCTCCGCTGGGAGGGACCTGCGGCCGCCTCCCCCTCCCGCCGCTCCTAGAGCCCATCTGGGGAGGGGGCTCCCCTCCCTCCCTCCCTCCATCCCTCCATCCATCGCTGGATCATCCGGGGCTTTTCCCAAGGATGCTCTTTCCCCCCCGCTCCTGGCAGTCCGTCACTTAGCAACGCCCGAGGGGGGGAATTTTGGGATCAAATCCGCCGGGATGAGGATTTAAACTGTGCCCCGCTCGTGCCCGGCCAGCGGCGAGGAGGCAGCGCCGCTGCCATCCAAGAATCCCGGTTTTTATTCCCGCGGGAGACGCGCTCGGCAAGTGTGGGAAGAGACGATTCCCGATGGGGCTCCGCGTTTAACGGGCAAAGCTCCGGATCCCGAAATTCCCGAAATTCCTGCGTGGGCTCCGTATCCCTGCATTCCTGCGAGGGCTCCGTATCCCTGCATTCCTCTGCAGGTGACTGCGAGGGGCCCGGTGGGCAGCAGGGACATCCACGATCGCTTTTTTTTTTAATTCCCTCCTCCTCCTTTTCCTCCTTTTCCTCCTCCTCCACGCCGAGGCAAAAGTCGCTTCCGTCTTTTTGGTGTGACTTTGGGCGCAAAAAAAAAAAAAAAAATCCGGGGAGAGAAAAAAACCCAGGAAAAAAAAAATCCAGGAGAAAAAAAAATCCAGGAAGAAAAAAAAAAAGAGAGAAAGAAAGAAAGAAAGAGAAAGAAAGGGAGGGGAAGCAACGATCCCTGCGGAGATGAAAGGCTGGATGCGAAGAGTGACAAAGGCCACCCCTGGCTGGTGACAAAGGCCACCCCCGGCTGGTGACAGGGCCACCCCCGGCTGGTGACAGAGGCCACGGCGCTGGCAGCGATGGTGCTGCGCTCTAACCCTGGCATCATTCTCTTGTGCTCTTTCCTGCCCAGTGACTACATCATCGAGGAGAAGACGGCCGTGCTGCAGAAGCGGGAGCATGAGGGCTTCGGCTTCGTCCTGCGCGGGGCCAAAGGTAAGCCCGGGTCCGCTTTTCCAGGGTTTTTCCTAGGATTTTTTCTTTTTTCCCGATTTTTTTTCCCCACGTTTTTTTTTTTCCCCCCGGGAAGCGGCGTGGTTGTGCAGCGCTGGGGGGGGATCGGGTTGGGGTGATGGCGTGGAGTGGGGTTTGGGGTTTTGGGGAGGGTTTGGTGCTTGGTGGTGCCTTGGAATTTTTGGGAATTTTCACTCCTTTTCCCCGCGGGAATGAATGGTTCAGGGTTCTCCTTCCCGCTAATCCTGTGGGGCTCCAAAGGGATTTTCTTCCCTGGCTCGCTTCGGTGTCGTGGTCTGGGGTTGTGGATTTGGAGTTCTGGGGGTTTTGCTGCTGGTGCTGCTCATGGTGCCTTGGAATTTTTGGGAATTTTCACTCCTTTTCCCCGAAGGAATGATCAGCCCTTGCTCAGCTCAGGATCCTCATTCCCAGCAATCCTGGGGGGCTCCAAGGGGATTTTCTTCCCCGGATTTCTCCGGTTCACTGCCATGTCCTGCTGCCATCGTGGCTTTCTCAGAATTTTGGGGGTTTTGCTGCTGGTTGTGGCTTGGAATTTTTGGGAATTGTCGCTGCTTTTCCCTTGGAGAATGAACGGCTCAGGGTTCTCATTCCCGGGATTCTCATTCCCAGGCTCCAAAGGGATTTTCTTCCCCAGCTCATTCGGTGTCGTGGTCTGGGGTTGTGGATTTCGGGTTTTGGGGGGGGGTTTATGCTGGTGGTGCCTTGGAATTTTTGGGAATTTTCACTCCTTTTCCCCGAAGGAATGATCAGCCCTTGCTCAGCTCAGGATCCTCATTCCCAGCAATCCTGGGGGGCTCCAAGGGGATTTTCCTCCCTAGATTTCTCCGGTTCACTGCCGTGTCCTGCTGCCATCGTGGCTTTCTCAGAATTCTGGGGGGTTTAGTGCTGGTGCTGCTTGTGGTGGCTTGGAATTTTTGGGAATTTTCACTCCTTTTCCCTGAGGGAATGAACAGCCCCTGCTCAGCTCAGGATCCTCATTCCCAGCAATCCTGGGGGGCTCCAAGGGGATTTTCCTCCCTGGATTTCTCTGGTTCTGTGCTGTGTCCTGCTGCCATCGTGGCTTTCTCAGAATTCTGGGGGGTTTAGTGCTGGTGCTGCTTGTGGTGGCTTGGAATTTTTGGGAATTTTCACTCCTTTTCCCTGAGGGATGAACGGCTCAGGGTTCTCATTCCCGGGATTCTCATTCCAAGCAATCCTGGGGGGCTCCAAGGGGATTTTCCTCCCCGGATTTCTCCGGTTCAATGCCATGTCCTGCTGCCATCGTGGCTCTCTCGGAATTTTGGGGCTTTTGTTGCTGGTGCTGCTCGTGGTGCCTTGGAATTTTTTGGGAATTTTTTCTCCTTTTCCCTGGGAGAATGAATGGCTCCGGAGCCCCATTCCCAGTAATCCTGGGGGGCTCCAAGGGGATTTTCCTCCCTGGATTTCTCTGGCTCAGTGCCGTGTCCTGCTGCCATCGTGGCTCTCTCACAATTTTGGGCTGGTGCTGCTCATGGTGCCTTGGAATTTTTGGGAATTTTCACTCCTTTTCCCTGAGGGATGAACGGCTCAAGGTTCTCATTCCCGGGATTCTCATTCCCAGGCTCCAAAGGGATTTTCCTCCCTGGCTCATTCAGTGTCGTGGTCTGGGGTTGTGGGTTTGGGGTTTTGGGGGGTTTTGGTGCTGGTGGTGCCTTGGAATTTTTGGGAATTGTCACTGCTTTTCCCTGAGGGATGAACAGCTCAGGATCCTCATTCCCAGTAATCCTGTGGGGCTCCAAGGGGATTTTCCTCCCTGGATTTCTCCGGTTCTCTCCAGTTCTGTGCCGTGTCCTGGTGCCATCGTGGCTCTCTCAGAATTTTGGGGCTTTTGGTGCTGCTGCTGCCTTGGAATTTTTGGGAATTTTCACTTCTTTTCCCTGGGAGAATGAACAGCTCGTGATTCTCATTCCTGGTTATCCGGGGGGGCTCCAAAGGGATTTTCTTCCCCGGATTTCTCCTGTTCAGTGCAGTGTCCTGCTGCCATCGTGGCTCTCTCGGAATTTTCAGGTTTTCTGTGGATGCTGCTTGGAATTTTTGGGAATTGTCACTTTGCTTCCCGGAGGGGTGCAGTGTCCTGCTGCTACCGTGGCTCTCTCGGAATTTTCAGGAGGTTTTCTGTGAATGCTGCTTGGAATTTTTGGGAATTGTCACTTTGCTTCCCGGAGGGAGGAATGGCCCCTGCCCAGCTCCGGAGCCCCCTTCCCAGCAATCCTGGGGGGCTCCAAAGGGATTTCCTTCCCTCATTCCATCTTCTCCTTTCCCATTTTCTGGGGGTTTTGATGTGGATGCTGCTTGGAATTTTTGGGAATTTTCACTCCTCTTCCCTGTGGGAATGAACAGCCCCTGCCCAGTTCCATCCATGGCTTTTTGGGATTGGAGTGCTCGGAGCTTTTCCGTGGATTTTGGCCGGGGAGAGCTGGGGGCTTTTGGGATCCCTGGGGAAAACCGGGAGAGCTTTTCCTGCTGCTCCCACCCCAGAGCTCATTCCCGGCTCATCCCGGGGCTCTCCCAGGTCCAGGATCTTTCCTGGGAGTTTCCCATGGCTCCTTTGGCCAGAATTCCACATTTTTGCTGCAAAAAAAAAAAGAATCCCTTGGAGACTTGGGAATGTTCCTGTGGATTTAGGAAAGAGGAGGCGGGAAAAGCTCGGGATGGAGAGACCTCTCCACCCCCGGCATTCCCAGGAGCAGAGGGACAGCGGAGCCGTTTTCCACGTGGGAGGAAAGCTGGGAAGAGCTGCAGATCCAGGCTGGAATGGGATTTTCCAGGCGAACTCCTGGATTTATGTCCTTCTGTCCTTTCTGCCAAGGTTTGCATCCCAGTGGGAATTTCGCTCCCATTCCCTATGGACTTTCCATCCGTGGAGCACCCAGTGAAACTTTAGGGCCCAAAATGGCATCCATGAGTTTTTTTTCTGGGCCAATCCCACAGCTTTTGTGTTGGGAAAACCGGGAAATTTAACCCCATTCCCTGTTTTTTCCCTTTTTTTTCCTTCCTGGTTCTCCTGCCATTCCCAGTTTCCCTTCGTGTGCCCAGACTGAGGGAAACGTTGGGAGCGGGCATGTGGCTCTGTGGGATTTGGGAATTCTGCGGGATTCAGGAATTCTGTGGGACACAGGAAGCACACGGATGCAGAGGGGTCCTGGCATGGAAGATCCAGAATCTGGGAATGCTCCCTCTGGAGCAGCATTCCCAAGTTAGGGAAGTGGCTTGGAATCCTCCCCATTTCCCAGCCCCTCATCCCGGTATTCCATGGATTTTGGGCTGGGATTCCATGGATTTTAGATGGGGAATTGGCCCCATCCATGTCACCACTGCCCCTTTGGATTTTCCTGGAAAACCATTCCAGGCCTGTGGGGAAAAGAGGGAAAAGGAGCTGGAAAAGGCAGGGCTGGAGCTTCATCCCGGGCAGAGGGAGGGAGGCGGATTTTGGGATGATCCTTAAAGGAATTTGCTCTTCCTGCTGCAAATTCCTCCCTGGAATTTTTCCCATTCCATGGGAGCACTCCCAGGGAAAAGGCTCTGCCCACCCTGGGTCCTTCCCAGCCCATCCCCGCTCCGGCACTTCCCAGTTCCCAAGGGGAACATCCTGTCCCATCCATCCCAGGGATCTGAGTTATTCCCGTTTATCCCAGTCCCTGCAGCTCTCGCAGCTGGGCTTGCCCCACATCCAATCCCTTGGGAATTCCCAGGGAATCTGTGGCTCTCCCTGGATCCCTGGAATTGTCCAGGGCCAGGCTGGAACAGCCTGGGATCATGGAATGCCATCATGGAATGGGATGAGCTTTGAGGGCCCTTCCCACCCAAGTCATTCCATGATTTTAGGGATAGCCAGGATGTGTCCTAAAATCCAAATTAAGGGAACAAATCCAAGTTTTTGTTGGATGGGATGAGCTTTCCTTGGTTTGCCTGGAGAGAACCGGGTCATTCCCAAAATTCCCAAGATTATTCTTCCCTGTGGATCTCCTCAAGGAGCCAATCCCAAGGGAAAGGAGGAGAGGGAACGGCCTCGAGCTGGGCTTGGGGGTTGGATATTCCAGGTGGGAATTCCCTGAGCTCAGAACTTGCCAGGATCTGTGGAATCAATGGATCCTTTGGGAATTCCATGAGCTCTCAGCTTGCCAGGATCCGCTGAGGATTGGAGGATCCTTTGGGAATTCCCTGAGTTTGGAACTTTCTGGGATCCGTGGGATGGGGATCTGCCTGACCACTCCAGGGATGACCAGGATGGGAATTGGTCCTTCCAGGATGGAATTTGTCCTCCTGGATGGGATTTGGTGACTCCAGGATGGAATTTTGTCCTCCTGGATGGGATTTTGGTTCCCCAGGTTGGGTTTGGTTCCCCAGGATGGGATTTGGTCCTCCTGGATGGGATTTGGTGACTCCAGGATGGAATTTTGTTGTCTGGGTGGGATTTTGGTGTCTCCAGGATGGGATTTGGTCCTCCTGGATGGGATTTGGATACCCAGGATGGAATTTGGTGTTTCCAGGATGGAATTTGATGCCCAGGATGGAATTTGGTCCCTCCGGGATGGGACTCGGTCCCTCAGGATGGAGTTTGATGTTCCCCAGGATGGGATTTGGTTCCCTCCCAGATGGATTTTGTCCCTCCAGGATGGATTTTGGTGTTCCAGTCCTTCCTGGTGACCCAGCCCTGGCAGGGCTTCTCCCGCAGCTGGCTCTGGAATTCCAGCTGGGAATTGTGGGAATTTAAGCCCAGAATTCCCAATTCCCCAACCAGGGCTGTGGTGGCTCCTCAGGGGTTCCAATGGCACTTCCCAGAATTCTGAGTCCGGAGTTTTGGTGGGAAAGGCTGAACCTCCTGGTCAGGGAATTCCCCTCATTCCCAGTGGGAACTTCCTGGATTTAATTCCCAACTTTTTGGTTTGGTTCTCCCATTGGATGGGAGACCCTTCCCATTGGATTTCCTCCCTAGGAGGACACTTAGGGATGGATTTTCCATGATTTCCACAGCTGGAGCATTCCCTGGATCAGGTTCTAAACTGGTTTTGGGGATGGCTGAACTGGGAGAGATGGATGAGGATTCCCAGGATTTGCTGGGAGCAAGGATGTCCTTCTCCTCTTCCTTCTCCATCCCCAGGGGTTGGAAAACCTGGAATAAAAATTCCCAAGGCCAGGACAGGGCTTGGAGCAGCCTGGGATAGTGGGAAGTGTCCAAGGGTTGGAACTGGGTGGGATTTGTGTCCCTTCCCACCCAAACCACTCCAGGGGGAGCTCCAGTGCTCCCGACACCAGGAGGACCTGGAAATCCTGGAGCAAATCCAGGGGATTGGATCAGCTTCCCTCTGAAAAACTGGGAATGTTCTCCTGGAGAATGGAAGGATCCAGGGAGAGCTTCCAGCACATTCCAGGCCCAAAGGGGCTCCAGGAGAGCTGCAGAGGGACTGGGGACAAGGGACAGGAGCCAGGGAATGGCTGCCAGTGCCAGAGGGCAGCCATGGATGGGATGTTGGCCATGAGGAATTGCTGGCTGGGCTGGAATTGCCAGAGCAGCTGGGGCTGCCCCTGATCCCTGCAGTGCCCAAGGAAAGGCTGGAAAAATCTGGGCCAGTGGGAATTGTCCCTGTGTCCCTTTGACCCCTCCTGGATAAAATTCTGCTCCCAGCATTATTCCATAGGGAGACAATTCCCAATTCCCGAGCATTTTCCCATTTGCCAAATCCTTCACGCTCCGGCAGCGCTTCACAAATCCTGGATCACGACGTGCACCCGCTGTGGGCTGGTGGCTCCCAGCCCACGGAAAAAGCTGGAAAAGTGCCTGGAATGACACATGGCTAACTCAGGGATGGATGGGCATGGGATGCAATGGGATCCATGGGAATGTGGGATTCGCTCCCTGAAATTCATCCCAGAGAATCCATGGCTGCCCCTGGATCCCTGGAAGTGTCCGAGGCCAGCTCGGACACTTGGAACAGCCTGGGATAGCAGGAGATGGAATCCTGGAAGGATCCTGGAGGATCTGGAGAGCGCTCCGACATTCCGTCGGAATGTCTAAAAATAGGGATGAGCTGTCAAGCGTTTGCCACTTCTCCCGGGAAAGGCAGAAATCGTGGAAAGCCGTTGGTGGGAAGCAGCTGAGAAGCTTCAGCACATGGAGGGGTGGCAGGGAAAGGTTCCCTGGGTGTGATCCGTGCCGGAGTGGAAAAATCCCGCCTAAAATGTGGGAGAAAACAGGAGAGAGGAGGAGAAGTCTTGGATCTGGGTGGAATTGGACGCTTGGATTTGGCGGGAAGGGAGGGGAACGTTGGGAATGTTGCTGGATGGAGGTCAAAGGAGAGGCCAACAGGGTCACCTCGGGGATCTGGGATCCATCAGCTCCTAAAAATCCATTTCTTGGGATAATTTGCAGGGATGAGAATTTCTCCTGGCTCCTGATCCGTGCCAGGGGGATTTGGGAATGAGGAGACCCCGTGGCTCCGGGGGAAGGACTCGGCTGGAAGTGAGAGGGAAGAGGGAAAACTTGGGATAAGGAGGGCGGGAAGGATTGAAGGGATGGATTTTCCTCAGGCTGGATTGTCCCAGCGGGGATCTCTCCCATTTTTCAGAGCTTTGGTGGGTCCTGATGGATCCTCTGGATCCATTCCGGGAGCCAAAGGTTTGGGATCGACCCGGGGTGGAATTCATGGATCCTGGGAATGGAAATGCTTGGAAAATTTCCTGTGCTGTGCCCGTGGGATCTCCTGGATCCCAGGGATCTGTGGGATGGGCTGGGAGGTCCTTGCCAGGCAGGCCCCGCCAGGACTGGGGAATTGTGGAATCCTTGCCCATGGAATGCCGGCAGTGCCTCGGGAAGGGCCCCCGAGCCCCCCTGGGCTGGGCAGGGGCTGCCAGGGATCCGTGCAGGGAGAGCCCGGGAAAAGTGGGATCTGGGCCGGGCTGGGGCCAGGGCAGCTCTGCTGGGATCGGGGCAGGGATGGGGAATGTCCTTCTGGCTGTGCCCAGCTCCTGCCAGGAGCCCGCGGGGATCGGGATCTGCTCCAGGGAAGGAGCCCCGGGAGAAGAGGGAGCGGCCTCAGGCTGGCCCAGGGCAGGCCCCGCTCCCACATTTGGGATCGTTTGCCATGGAAAGGGGTCAGGCCTTGGCAGGGGCTGCCCAGGGAGCTTTGGAGTCCCATCCCTGGAGTGTCCAAGGAATTCCTGGATGTGCCTCTGTTCAGAGTGTCATCTCCTGCTGTCCCAGATTGCTCCAGCCTGGTGGATTTTTTCAGGGAATTCATGGAGTTCCCATCCCTGGAAGTGTCTAAAGAACCTGAGGATGCTGCACTCAGAAATGTGGGGCAGGGGGGCCTTTGGGAGTGCTGGGAATGGTTGGATCCGATGGGATTTTCCAACCAAAATAGCTCCGTGACTCCATCATTGATTCCATGACTGAGTCTATTATTGGCTCCATCTTGGATTCCATCTTGGATTCCATCACTGATTCCTTCTTTGATTCCTTTATTGATTCCTTCATTGATTCCATTATTAGTTCCATTATTGATTCCGTCATTAGTTCCATTATGGATTTCATCTTCGACTCTTTCATTGATTCAGTCTTGGATTCTATCATTGATTCCATCATTAATTCCATGATTGATTCCATTGGTATTTCCATTATGGATTCCATCATTGATTCCATTGTTAGTTCCATTATTGATTCCATCTTGGATTCCATTATTGATTCCATCTTGGATTCATTCCTTCATTATTTCCATGATTGATTCCATCATTGATTCCAGTACTGGTTCCACCTGGGATTCCATCACTGAGGTGGGAACAGGGACAGGACAAGGGGTGGGATTCAAATCCATGAATCCATGGATGTGGCACTTGGGGACACGGATCAGGGGTGGCCTCAGCACTGCTGGGAACAGTTGAGCTCTGAGGCCTTTCCAGCTCTGTAATTCCATGATTTTAGGAATGCTGTGGACAGGCTGAGCCTTCCCTTATGGAATTTCCTTGGGAATCCCTCAATTCCCCTTCCCGTTGTGTTTTCCAGCCGAGACCCCGATCGAGGAGTTCACGCCCACGCCGGCATTCCCAGCGCTGCAGTACCTGGAATCCGTGGATGTGGAAGGAGTCGCCTGGAGAGCGGGATTGCGCACGGGGGACTTTCTGATCGAGGTGAGCTCCTCGTGGAATTCCACTCCTTCCCCAGGAATTTTGGGAATTGCCCAGGAGTTTTGGGATTCTCCCGGGTATGGGTCAGGAGGATACGGACTCCTCCAGGTTGTGGAACTTCCAGAGGTTCTTTGGGTGTGGATCCAGAGGCATCCTGGTGTTCTCCAGGTGCGGATCAGGAGGATCTGGAATTCTCCAGGATCCAGAGGGATCCAGAGTCCCCTGGTGCTATCGAATCCCCTTGGAATTGTGGCTGCTCCATCCTGTGGAGAACACACCAGGATTTCAGGAGATTCCCTGGATTTGTCAGTGCTTTAGGGATTTTCCTGGCTGGAGGAGGAACTTGGGATGTTCCCATGGGATTGGTGGGAACAGGGCAGGCCTGGAGGTTGGAAAGGCGTAAAAAAGGTTTTCCCATGGGAAATCCAAGGAATGGTTCAGGGGCTGGATCCAGGCACTGCTTTGGTTGGAAAGGAATCATGGAAGGTTGGATTCCAATGGAATGTGTGGAGTGTTGGGATTGGGATGGATCCTGCCAGACTGGGAGAGCTGGGAATGTTCTCCTGGAGAAGGGAAGGATCCAGGGAGAGCTTCCAGCACAACCCAGGGCCCGAAGGGGCTCCAGGAGAGCTGCAGAGGGACTGGGGACAAGGGACAGGAGCCAGGGAATGGCTGCCAGTGCCAGAGGGCAGCCATGGATGGGATCTTGGCCATGAGGAATTGCTGGCTGGGCTGGAATTGCCAGAGCAGCTGGGGCTGCCCCTGCATCCCTGCAGTGCCCAAGGAAAGGTTGGAGCAGCCTGGGATCATGGGAAGTGTCCATGGAATGAACTTTGAGGTTCCTTCCCACCCAAACCATTCCAGGATTCCATTTGGGATGAATCTCTGGCATTTTGTGCTGCCCTCTGAGCTCTGGGAGCTCCTTTTGTCCTTGGAATGCAGTTTTCAGATTTTCCCCCTCACTGCCTTTTCCATGGATAATTTCCCGGCTCCAGCCTCGCATATTCCCTGAACTTCCTTTTGGGGCCAGTGTGACACCAGGAATGTCCCTGCTCCGTGCCCGGGAGAGGCTTCCCAAAATCCTGGAGCTGTTCCCGTGTGCTTCTCCTCAGAATCCTGGGGACCCCTGGGCTTGGAAAAGAATTCCAAGGACACTGAATCCAACTGGGCCTGGTCCCCAGCCCAGAGCACTGAGTGGAATTCCAGGAATTCCCTGGACACATTAGACCTGGGATATTCCCACTCCTGCTTGTCCTGACAGGAGAAGGAGGAAAATAAAGCCTGGAGGGATTTGGGATGGCTGGAGACTCATTTCCATTGAGAAATTCCCAAAAATTTGGGAATTCCTGGCTGGGCTGGGCAGCCCCCGCCAAGGCCTGACCCCTTTCCATGGGGAAATTCCTGCAGATTCCAAGCTTCCAGAAGTCCTCCAGGTGTGGATCCAGAGGGATCCAGAGTCCTCCAGGTGATGGAAGTGCCAGGAGCTCTCCAGGTGTGGATCAGGAGGGTCTGGAATTCTCCAGGTGGGGATCCAGAGGGATCCAGAGTCCTCCAGGTGTTGGAGCTTTCAGGAGTTTTCCAGGTGTGGATCCAGAGGGATCCAGCATCCCAACCTGTGGATCGGGAGCTTCCAGAAGTTTTCCAGGTCAGGAGGATCCAGAGTCCTCCAGGTGTGGATCAGGAGGTCCTGGAATTCTCCAGGTGTGCATCCGGAGGGATCCAGAGTCCCCACATTCCTTTTGGGAATTGGGTCGCTCCCGGAGCTCTCCCGAGCTGCCCTCGATGCCACTTCCAGCCCTGAATTCCACTCGGATTTCCTCCCAAAAAATCCGGAGCAGCCTCTGGAACAGCCACAATTTAGGCTGAAAATTGGGAAAATTCCTCCTGAAGGGAATCAAATCCCAGTGGATTTGGAGGACCTGGATCCAGGGCGGCCCTGGCAGAGCTGGGAATTCTGGGATTTGATCTCCAAGAGCTTTTCCGACCTCCAACAATTCCATGATCCCATGAACCACATTCCAGGAATGGCTCCATGAGGAAATTCCCGGTGCCAGGCTGGGGAATTGCCAAGATCCGACGTCCCCGGGGGTGGGATTGGGACAATCCCACTGGAATTCCAGAGGAAAATCCAGAATTTCCAGCCTTTTGTCTCCCCCTCATCCTGGCAGGTTTTAAATCCTGGAATTTTTTTCATGAGGAGCCTTGGAAGTGGAGAACTTTGACCACTTCCATGAGAATTCCATGATTCCTTGAGGATCCGGGTGGGAATTCCCAGAATCTGGGATACAGACATGGCTGGAAATCCGTGGATATTTCCAGGATTTAGGGCCAGATTTCATTGTTATCCCAAGTTTTCTAAAAGGAAAAACTGGAATGACAGCCCCAGCATCCCCTGGGGAGGTTTGGATGGGATATTTGGGAATGTTGCTCCGTGGAAATGGTTGGGAAGCTTTGGAAGGAGCAGTGGTGGAATCAAATCCTTCGGAATGTTCAAAATCGGGATTTGGGAATGTGGGTTTTTCCAAACTCTGAGGGCTTTTCCAATCTCCACAATTCCACGATTTTCTTTGGGAATGAGGTAGAATCCTGCTCTGGGCAGTGGTGGGAATGGGACAATCCAATCCCAACCATTCCATGATCCCAGTGAACAAAATTCCAGAGTGTTTTGAAGGACATGGACCCCAAAAATCCAGGGTGGGGGGAAGAAATCCTCTAGGACCAAAAATTCCCCCTCTGGAATTGTGGGAATGAGGGAGCGCTGAAACATTCCCAGATTCTCTCCCTGCTGGAAAGGTCAGGAAGCAAAAAAAGCAGGAAATGCGGATAATTCCGGCTCCGGAGCGTGGGAGGTTGATAAAAAGGATCCGAGGAAATATCAAAGGCCGGGATTTCGGATCGTTGGGAATTTGGGAGCATCGGGAGCTGGGGAAAAAAAAAAAGAAGGAAGAGGCTGATCCAGCTCCATTTTTTTTATGGAAATGCTCAAAATTTGGGATATTCTGGTGCGGGGAAAAAAAGCTGGAATGTTCCGCTCCGAGTTGGGAACGAATGCGGAGCTCGGATTTCTCCAGGAGATGTCTCGGAACACAAAGTTTCCCAGTAACCAAGGAGAGAGGAATTCCTAAAAATATCCGCTCCCAAATTACCGGGCTGGGAGAGCGGATCCCGGAGATCTGCGGGAGGGGGGTCTGGGAATGCTGCTCAGCCCTGGAATTCCGGAGGCTCGGCATGAGCATTGGGCTCTCCCAGTTTTCCGGAGGAAGGGAATTGAGGGAAATCAAGGCAGGGATGAATTGGGAGCACAGAGAATTCCAGGATTGAAATCCCAAGGAATTCCGTGGAGGTCAGGCTCAGGTTATCCCGAGGGTTTTGTTGGAATTCCTTCAAAACTGTGGGATTCAGGTGGAAATAAAGACAGTTAGGAGTGGGAGACAATTCCCAGCAATTCCCTGGCTGGATCCAGGTGGGAATCAGGATCTGATCCCAGGGAAAAAAGGTCAGGATGAGAGGGAACGGCCTCAAGCTGAGCCAGGAATGGGATGTTTGGGAAAAATCCTTTGTGGAAAAGGTTGGGAAGGATGGGAATGGGCTGAGCAGGGCAGTGGGAATCACCATTCCCAAGGGATTTCAAATCCATGGATCAGGGTGGGAATGGCAGTGCTGGGAATGTTCCCAGTGGGATTTCCAGCCTCAGGGATTCCTGGATTCCAGGATTTCATTCCCAACCCAGGAAATGCTGATGGGAGAACCTTGGGAATTTCCCATTCCAGCAAACCCTGCCTGGCAGGGAATGGAGGTTCCAGGCTTGGGAATTCCATCAGGAAAAGGGAATTCTCCCATAAATTTCTGGTTTTCTCCCAGATTTTTTTGATTGGATGTGGCAGATCCTGGAAGGACGAAATTCCTGCACTCCCTGAAATTCCCACATGGATCCCGGATGGATCCAGTGGGATTGGGATGGGAGCTGGGAATTATTCAGGATGTGGGAAAAGGGGAGAGGATCCAGGAATTCCTGGCTCTGGAATGTGCGTGTGGGATTATGGCGGTTTGCAAGGAGCTTGGTGCACGTGGAGAGAATTCCCTGGAAAACCATTCCATGGATTGCAGTAAATCCCATGGGAACTTGCCCATGGAATGGGGTGGACTAGGAGAGGAAGGAAAAGTCCAAGCCGGGATCCTCAGGAGAATTTTGGGATCTGGATAATCCCAAATTCTGTGAAATGGCAATCCCTGGATTTCTGCTCTTTCTTCTTGGTGAAACTTCGGAGCTGCCAACGATCCCACACAATGATTCCCGGGAATCCAAAGTTTCCCGGAGCAAAGGAGCCAGAATGGGCTCTTGGGATCTGTCCCTCGGGATGGATCCATGGAATAAACACGGAGCGTTGGGAAGAACTCCAGGAATCTTGGGATGAACCTTCACCAAGAGGAAAGAGCAGAAATCCAGGGATTGCCATTCCACAGAGTTTGGGATTATCCAGGATTCTCCAGATCCCAAAATCCTCCCGAGGATCCCGGCTTGGACCTTTCCCCCCTCCCCAAGTCGACCCCATTCCATGGGCAAGTTCCCGTGGGATTTACTGCAATCCATGGAATGGTTTTCCAGGGAATTCTCTCCATTCCGAACATTCCATGACTGGCCGCTCAAAAAAACCAGGAAAACCCCATTTTTTTGGGAATCTGTCAGCAGGAATTGGCAATTCCCATCTCCTCCTCACCATCACCGGGCAGTGACTCCCAACTGCCACAAAAAAGACGGGAAAAGATGGGGAAAAAAAAATGGGAAAAATGGATTTTTGTGGACTCCTTCAGTATTTTTTCTTTCCCACTGGGAATTCTGATCCATGTTTATTTCTTTTTCGGGAATGCAGGTGAACGGAGTGAATGTGGTGAAGGTGGGGCACAAGCAGGTGGTGGCGCTGATCCGGCAGGGCGGGAATCACCTCCTGATGAAAGTCGTGTCCGTCAGCCGCAAGCCCGACTCCGAGGAGGGATCCCGCAAAAAGGGTGAGCGGCAATTCCCGGGAATTCCGCGATGCCGGGGGCTCGGGATGGGCCGGAGCGGCCTCAGCGAGGAGAGGGAGGGGCAGGGGTGGAAAATTCCAGGGTGGGAAGGTTGGGATGCGCTGATTTTTGGGATGCGTTGATTTTGGGATGTGCCTAGTTTTGGGATGTGCCAATTTTGGGATGAACCAATTTTTGGGATGTGTTGGTGTTTGGGATGTGCCAGTTTTTGGGATGCAATGATTTTTGGGATAGGCTGGTTTCTGGGATGTGCCAGTTTCAGGATGTGCTGTTTTTTTGGGATGAGCCAATTTTTGAGATGAGCTGATTTTTGGGATACGCCAATTTTTGGGATGTGTCCATTTTTTGGGATGTGCCTGGTTTTGGGATGAGTCAGTTTCAGGATGCACCAATTTTTGGGACGTGTTGGTGTTTGGGATGTGCCTGTTTTTGGGATGTGTTGATTTTTGGGATACGCCGGTTTCTGGGATATGCCAATTTCTGGATATGCTGTTTTTTGGGATGAGCCAATTTTTGGGATACGCCAATTTTTGGGATGTGCTGATTTTTGGGATGTGCCGGTTTCTGGGATGTGCCAATTTCACAACGCGCCAGTTTTTGGGATGTGTTGGTGTTTGGGATGTGCCTGGTTTTGGGACACAATGATTTTTGGGATGTGTCCCTTTTTTAGGATGTGCCAGTCTTTGGGATGTGCTGATTTTTGGGATGCGCCGGTTTTTGAGATGCGCCAGTTTCAGGATGCGCTGTTTTTTGGGATGTGCCAATTTTTGGGATGTGCCGCTTTCTGGGATGTGCCAGTTTTTGGGATGTGTTGATGTTTGGGATGTGCCATCTTTTGGGATGTGCTGGTTTATGGGATTTCAGGGATTCCAGGGATTCAGGATGGGCTGGAGCGGCCCCAGTGAAGAGAGGGAATGGCGGGAGGGGATGTGGGAGTGGCACGGGTGGAAAATTCCTGATAGGAAGCTCCGGTTTTTTGGGATGTGCTGATTTTTGGGATAGACCAATTTCAGGATGTGCCGTATTTTGGGATGCTCAGCTTTTTGGGATGAGCCGATTTTTGGGATGCACCGATTTCAGGATGCACCGATTTTTAGGATGTGTTGGCATTGGGATGCAATGATTTTTGGGATGCAATGATTTTCGGGATATGTCCATTTTTTGGGATGTTTCCATTTTTGAGATGCGCCGGTTTTTGGGATACACCTGGTTTTGGGATGCACCAATTTCAGGATGTGCTGATTTTTGGGATGTGTTGATGTTTGGGATGCGCTGGTTTTCGGGATGCTCTGATTTTTGGGGGATGCCAGTTTTTTGGAATGCCTCAACTTCAGGATGCACCAATTTTTGGGATGTGTTGGTGTTGGGATATGCTGATTTTTGGGATGCAATGATTTTTGGGATGTGCCGGTTTTTGGGATTTTTCCATTTTTTTCAGGATGTGCCATTTTTTTTGGGATGTACCAGTTTTTGGGATGCGTCAATTTCAAGATGCGCCGATTTCAGAATGCAGTGATTTTTGGGATGTGTTGATGTTGGGATGCATTGATTTTTGGGATGTGACGATTTTTGGGATATGTCCGTTTTTTGGGATGTGCCAGTTTTTGGGACGCGCCGGTTTTTTGGGATGTTTCCATTTTTGGGATGCGCCAGTTTCAGGATGCATAGATTTTTGGGATGCGCTGCTTTATGGGATGTGCTCGTTTTTGGCGTGCATCATTATTTGGGATGTGCCCACTTTGGGGATGCACCGATTCTGGATGCGCTGATTTTGGGATGTGCCCATTTTTGAATGTGTAGGTTTTTGGGATGTGCCCATTTTGGGATGCACAGTGTTTTGGGATGTGTTGATTTTTGGCATGTGCTGATTTCTGGGACGTTCCTGTTTTGGGATATTCCAACTTCTGGGATGTGAAGATTTTCGGGATATGTCCATTTTTAGGATGTGCCAATTTTTGGGATGCACCAGTTTTGAGATGTGCCCATTTTCTGGGATGTGCTGAGTTTTGGGACATGTTGATGTTTGGAATGCAAAAATTTTTGGGATTTGTTCATTTTAGGATGCGCTGATTTTTGGTAAGTGTTGATTTTTGGGATGCATAATTTTTTGGGATGCCGCCATTTTGGGATTTGGCCACATTGGGATGTGCCCATTTTTGTGATGTGTCATTTTTTGGATGCGCCTGTTTTGGGATGTGCTGATTTTTGGGATGCATTAATGTTTGGGATACCAAAATTTTTGGGTTGTTCCCACTTTTGGGATGCGTCTGTTTTTTGGGATGTGCTCCTTTTTGGGATGCGCCCCTTTTTTGGGATTTTCTCATTTCTGGGACTTGTTGATTTTTGGGACATGCCAGTTTCTGGGATGCGCTGATTTGTGGGAATGTTGGAGGTGGGCAGGGAATATCAGGAAGGTCCCAACCACATCTGTGGATCTGGCATGTTTTTTGGGAATGGCTTGGATTCCCAAGGTCTGGAATTCCTGGAGTTGTGGTGGTTTTGGGGAATGGCTTGGATTCCCAAGGTCTGGAATTCCTGGAGTTGTGGTGGTTTTTGGGGAATGGCTTTGATTCCCAAGGTCTGGAATTCCTGGAGCTGTGGTGTTTTTTGGGAATGGCTTGGATTCCCAAGGTCTGGAATTCCTGGAGTTGTGGCGGTTTTTGGGGAAGGGTTTTGATTCCCAAGGTCTGGAATTCCTGGAGCTGTGGTGTTTTTTGGGAATGGCTTGGGTTCCCAAGGTCTGGAATTCCTGGAGTTGTGGTGGTTTTGGGGAATGGCTTTGATTCCCAAGGTCTGGAATTCCTGGAGTTGTGGTGTTTTTTGGGAATGGCTTGGATTCCCAAGGTCTGGAATTCCTGGAGCTGTGGTGTTTTTGGGGAATGGCTTGGATTCCCAAGGTCTGGAATTCCTGGAGTTGTGGTGGTTTTTGGGGAATGGCTTTGATTCCCAAGGTCTGGAATTCCTGGAGCTGTGGTGTTTTTTGGGAATGGCTTGGATTCCCAAGGTCTGGAATTCCTGGAGTTGTGGCAAATGAGGAACAAGAGTTTTGGGAGCTCATGGATGTGGGAAGGGAGGGATGGGCTGGGCTGGGAATTCAGGGAAGGATCTGGGGAGTCGTAGGATGGGTTTTGGGAATCACTTTAATTCCCACAATCTGGAATTCCTGGATTCCCATCAGCTGCTCCAGGCTCTGGCTCCATCTGGGAATTATTGGAATGGGAAACAAGCCTGGGAATTTCCAGGTATGTTGAGGGGCAGGATGATGATCCCAAAGGAACACCGGGAATTCCAGGATGGAGCCAGGGAGCTGCTGTGGGAATTCCTGGGCATGGCTGGTCCTGGGGGATCCCAGAAAGTTCTGGGATTTCATTCCATGGATTCTGGATTCCGGGGGCAGATCCAAGAGCTCGGGCAGGGCAGGAATTTGTCCAGTGGGATGGGAACATCTGGAAGCGCAGGAAGGAGCCAGGAGGGGTTGGGGGGGATTGGGACTGGAATTCCAGGGAATGGGAGCAGAGGGGTGGGAAAAGGGGGTGGAATTATGGGAATGGGAAAACTGGGTGGGAAAAGAGGATGGAATTCTGGGAATAAGAGAAGGGGAATGGGAAAAGGAGATGGAATTAAGGGGATGGGAGCAGAGGATGGAATTATGGAGATGGGAAAAAGGAGATGGGAGCAGGGGCTGGAATCAGGGGGATGGGAGTGTGGGAAGCAGGATTAGGATGGGATGGAGGGACAGGAGCAGGAAGATGGAAGCAGGGATGGAAACAGGAGATGGAAGTGGAGGGACAGGAGAGGGGATGGGAGCAGGGATGGGAGCAGGGATGGGAGCAGGGGGCAGGAACGGGGATGGAAATGGGACAGGAGGGACAGGAGCAGGGAGATGGAAACGGGATGGAAGTGGAGGGACAGGAGAGGGTTTGGGAGCAGGGAATGGAAAATGGGATGGAAACACAGGGATGGGGGCAGGAAGATGAGAACAGGGGATGGAAGTGGAGGGATGAAAACCGGGAACAAGGGAATGGGAGCATGAGGATGGAAACAGGGAGAGAAGGGACAGGAGCAGGAATGGGAGCTGGAATGGAAACAGAATGGGAGCAGAGGGATGGGAGCAAGGACAGGAGCAGAGGATGGGAGCAGGGAATGGAAATGGGAAAGGAGCAGGGGGTGGAAGTGAAGGGACAGGAGCAGGAATGGAAGCAGAGGATGGAAACAGGGACAGGAGAGAGGAGCAGGAATGGAAGCTGGGTTGGGAGCAGAGGGATTGGAGCAGGGGATGGAAACGGGGGAACAGGAGGGACAGGAGCAGGGATGGAAGCAGAGGATGGAAACAGGGACAGGAGCAGGGACAGGAGAGACAGGAACAGGAATGGCAGCAGGGAATGAAAATGGGGGGAAGGAGCATGGGATGGAAGCTGGGATGGAAGTGGATGGACAGGAGCAGGAATGGCAGCAGGGAATGGAAACACGGGACAGGAGAGAGGAGCAGGAATGGAAGCTGGGTTGGGAGCAGAGGGATTGGAGCAGGGGATGGAAACGGGGGACGAGGAGCAGGAGACAGGAGCAGGGGATGGAAACAGCGGGACAGGAGGGACAGGAGCGGGGATGGATGGAAACAGGAATGGAAGCAGGAATTGGAAACAGGGATGGGAGCAGGGAATGGGGGTAAAGAATGGAATCAGGGATGGGAGCAGGGAGTGGAAGCAGGGAGTGAAATCAGGGGGTTGGGAGCAGGGATGGGAGCAGGGTTTAGAGTAGAGAATGGAAACGGAGATGGGAGCAGGGAATGGAATCAGGGGGATAGGATCAGGGATAGAATCAGGGATGGGAGCAGGGAGTGGAATCAGGGGGATGGGAGTAGGGATTAGAGCAGGGAAACAGAGATGGGAGCAGGGAATGGGAGTAAAGAATGGAATCGGGGATGGGAGCAGGGAGTGGAAGCAGGGAGTGAAATCAGGGGGTTGGGAGCAGGGGGATTGGAGTAGGGAATGGGAGCAGGGATGGGAGCAGGGACTGGAATCAGGGATGGGAGCAAGGGATGGGGTCGGGGGATGGGAGCAGGGGGATTGGAGTAGGGAATGGGAGCAGGGATGGGAGCAGGGACTGGAATCAGGGATGGGAGCAGGGTTTAGAGCAGAGAATGGAATCAGGGAGTGGAATAGGGGATGGGAGCAGGGTGTGGAATCAGGGGGATGGGAGCAGGGATGGGATCGGGGGATGGGAGCAGGTGGATTGGAGCAGGGGATGGAATCAGGGAGTGGAATCGGGGGGATTGGAGTAGCGAATGGAGTCAGGGGGATGGGAGCAGGGCTGGAGCAGGGGGATGGGAGCGGGGAATGAGGGGGGCCGGGATCGGGGCCGCTCCCAGCGCAGCACGCGGGGCTCGGGGGAGGGAAGGGAGGGAAGAGGGAAGGGAGGGAAGGAGGGAGCGCTGCTGGCACGAGGAGCTCCAATTATCCTGTCACGGCACAAAGGCACGAGCCGTGGGAACGGCTGGCAGCCTCGGGAATTCAGCCGGGAATTCAGCCGGGAATAATCCTCGGGAATTGAGCCGGGAATCAGCTCCGGGAGCCCCGGCGGGGCCGCTCGGGCCGCTGCTGCCGCTCCAGCCCGGGGTGAGCCGCTGCCCCTCGGCGCTTCCCTCCTCCCGATCCTCCGCATCCACGCGGCCGCTTTTCCAAGGGATCCGAGGGGCGCTGGGGGACCGGGGGGGCTCCTGCCGTGTCCCCCCCACCCCGGTGACAGCGCCTGTGTGGGCCCGGCTGGGGCTGAATCCGCCCCGCTGGATCCCTGCCGCAGGCACAGGGATCCTTGGAGCTGCCGTTGCCATGGCAATCCTGGAGCGTTATTCCAGCATTGTCAGCGCGGAGCAGCGAGGAGGAGGAGGAGGAGGAAGAGGAAGAGCTTTCCACTCATCCTCGCTGCTCCCGGGGAAGGGGGGGGTGCTCAGGGAATGCGGGATCGGGAGCTTTTGGGATCATCCCGGGCCACGCGCCCTTGGGCCGCTCCCGGCCGGACGCCGGCGCTTCCATAGGGTTGGGATCCACGGCCAGGAGGAGGAGGAGGAGGAGGAAGAGGAGGGTGGGGTGGGCTGAGGCGCTCCGGGGGCTGCGCCGAGGCGGGAAGAGGATCCCAGGAGCTCAGGCTGGACACATTCCCGCTTTTCCCGCATCCCTCCCGGCATCCCCGGCAGCCACCCCCGCCTCTCGGGGGCCATGGCTCGCACTCCGCGCTGAGGGGGGGGCCGGCATTCCCGAAGGCCGCGGGCACATTCCCGGCGGGAATCATGAAGAAGTTCGCGTCCACGCGCAGCCTCAATAAGATCCTGCAGCAGTGCGACTCCTCGTCCCGGGAATACGAGGAGATCCAGGCTGTGGAGAAGAAGTGGCACCTGCACCTGGCCACTCCGCGCAAATTCCGCGACAAGAGGTGCAAGATGCCCTCTCTGTTCCTTGCAGCTCCGCCGCCGCCCAAGAGAGCGCCCAGCACCACGCTCACGCTGCGCTCCAAGTCCATGACGGCCGAGCTGGAGGAGCTGGGTAAGGCAGGCATGGCGTGGGGATGTGCTCGGGAGCCGCTTTCCAGCGGTTTTCTCGCGGTTTTCCAGCGGTTTTCCAGCTGTTTGCATGCGCGCCGTGGGCCCGTGGCGGTGCGGGGTGTGGGAGGAGCGGGGGAGCAGGATTCCCGTGTCTGTCCGGGGGATGTCCGGGGGATGTCCAGGGGGATGTCCAGCGCTCCGGGGGCGCATCCCGCTGGAGGTGGGCGTGGGAAGGATGTTGGGAGTCTCCAGGTGGGCGTGGAGGGGTTGGTGTGCTCTGGCCTTGGGCATCCTGCTCCATTCCCTGCTCCTTCCCTGATCAGTCCCTGATCCCCTCCCTGATCAATTCCTACTCCGTTCCCTGATCAATTCCTGATCCTGTCCCTGATCCCGTCCCTGATCAATTCCTGCTCCGTTCCCTGATCAGTTCCTGATCCTGTCCCTGATCCCGTCCCTGATCAATTCCTGCTCCGTTCCCTGATCAGTTCCTGATCCTGTCCCTGATCCCGTCCCTGATCAATTCCTGCTCCGTTCCCTGATCAATTCCTGATCCTGTCCCTGATCAATCCCTGCTCCATTCCTTGATCAATTCCTGATCCTTTCCCTGATCAATTCCTGCTCCATTCCCTAATCAATTCCTGATCCATTCCCAGCTCCTCTCCCTGCTCCATTCCCAGTTCCTTTCCCTCCTCTTTTCCCAGCTCCATTCCCTGATCCATTCCCTGCTCCCGTCCCTTCTCCTTTCCCTGCTCCTGCTCCTTTTCCTGCTCCTCTCCCTGTTCCTCCTACTCCTCTTCCTGATCCTCATCCTCTGCCTGCCTCTCTCCCTGTTCCTGCTCCTTTTCCTGATCCTCTCTCTGTTCCTTTCCCTGCTCCATTCCCTGCTCCATTCCCTGCTCCATTCGCTAACCAATTCCTGATTCATTCCCAGCTCCTCTCCCTGCTCCTTCCATTCCCAGCTCCTTGCCCTGCTCCATTCCCAGTTCCTTTCTCTGCTCTTTTTCCAGCTCCTTTCCCTGTTCCATCCCCTAATCCTTTTCCTGCTCCTCTCCCTGCTCCTGCTTCTTTTCCTGATTCTCTCTCTTCTCCTGCTCCATTCCATAATCAATTCCTGATCCATTCCCTGCTCCTTTCCGTGCTCCTTCCATTCTTTGCTCCATTCCTTGCTCCATTCCTGTTCCATTCCCTAATCCTTTCCCTGCTCCTGATTATTTTCCTGCTCCTCTCCCTGATCCTGATCCTCTCCCTGATCCTTACCCTGCTCCTTCTCCTCCTGCTCCTCTCCCTGCTCCTCTCCTCGCTTTCCTCACTCCTTTCCATGCTCCTCTCCCTGCTCCTGCCCTTCTTCCCGATCCTCTCCCTGCCCTTCTCCCACCCCTCTTCTTGCTCCATTCCCGGCTCTATGCCCAGCTCCTTTCCCTGATCAGTTCCCTGATCCTTTCCCTGATCTTTTCCCAGCTCCTGATCCTTTTCCTGCTCCTCTCCCTGTTCCTGCCCTTCTCCCACTCCTCTTCTTGCTCCATTCCCGGCTCTATTCCCAGCTCCTTTCCCTGATCAATTCCCTGATCCTTTCCCTGATCTTTTCCCAGCTCCTGATCCTTTTCCTGCTCCTCTCCCTGTTCCTCCTTCTCCTCTTCCTGATCCTCATCCTCTGCCTGCCTCTCTCCTGTCCCCTGTTCCTGCTCCTCTCCCTGCTCCTGCCCTTCTTCCTGATCCTCTCTCTTCTGTTCCTGTCCTTGCTCCATTCCCTGATCAATTCCCTGCTCCTTTCCCAGATCAATTCCCTGATCTATTCCCTGCTCCATTCCCAGTTTAATTCCCAGCTCCTTTGCCTGCTCCTTTCCCTGCTCCTTCCATTCCTTGCTCAGTTCCCTGCTCCATTCCCAGCTCCTTTCCCTGCTCTTCTCCCTGCTCCTCTCCCTGTTCCGTTCCCTGCTCCTTTCCCTGCTCCTCTCCCTGTTCTTCCTACTCCTCTTCCTGCTCCTCATCCTCTGCCTGCCTCTCTCCTTGTTCCTGCTCCTTTCTCTGCTCCTTTTCCTGATCCTCTCTCGTCTCCTGTTCCTTTCCCTGTTCTTTTCCCTGTTCCTGCTCCCCCTGCTCCATTCCCAGCTCCTCTCCCTGCTCCTGATCCTTTCCCAGCTCCTCTCCCTGCTCCATTCCCATTTTTTGTTTTGGTTTTTTTAGACAAAAAATCCTTTCACCTCCTTTCCCTGTTCCATTCCCCATCCTTCTCCCTGCTCCTCTCCTTCCTCTCCCGTTTCCTTATCCTGCTCCTCATCCTGCTCCTCTCCCTCCTTTCCCACACCCGGCAGTCCCAGGTTTGGATCTCCCATCTCCGGGCAGATCCCAAACCCTGCCAGGAGAGCTCTGGGAGAGCTCTGGAATTCCAGGAGAGCTCCAGGAGAGCTCTGGGAGAATTCCAGATGAGCTCTGTGTGAGCTCTGGGAAACCTCTGGAATTCCAGGAGAGCTCCAGGAGAGCTCCAGTTGACCCTGCCAGGAGAGCTCCAGGAGAGCTCTGGAATTCCGGGAGAGCTCCAGGAGAGCTCCAGTTGAGCTCTGGGAGAATTCCAGATGAGCTCTGTGTGAGCTCTGGGAGAGCTCTGGAATTCCAGATGAGCTCCAGGAGAGCTCCAGGAGAATTCCAAGAGAACTCCAGGTGAGCTCCAGGTGAGCCCTAGGAGAATTCCAGGAAAGCTCCAGGATAGATCCAGGAAAGCTCCAGGAGAGCTCCAGGAGACTTCCAGGAGATTTCCAGGAGAATTCCAGGAGACCTCCAGGACTGCTCCGTCCCCCCCCACCCTGCTGCCACTCCCCCATTTCCTGCCACTTTCCCATCCCGCTCCACATTCCCAGATCCCCTGAAATCCTCTCCACTCCCACCATTCCCTGCTTCCCGCTGCCAGAATTCCCTGTTTTTCCCAGCCCCGTGGCCACCTGGGATGTCCCCAGGACTCCTTGGCAGGGTGGGAGCTGATCCCGCTCCATCCCTTCCCTTTTCCCGGATCTGGTGGCACTTTGTCCCTGGATGTCACCGGAGCAGCCACGTGGCCACGGAGGGATCCCAAATCTGGGAAAACTTTGGAGTGTCCCTGGGCTGGCTCCGAGGCCATCGAAGCTGCCCCAGCTTCCATGGGAATTTGGGATTTTCCACGTGGGAGTGTGGCACCCTGGAGCCTCAGCAGGATCCCACATTGCCCATGGTTTTCCATGCTTTCCTTGTTTTCCTGTTTTCTGTGGTTTTCCATGTTTTCCTTGGTTTTCCATGCTCTCCACAGTTTTCCATGCCCTCCCTGTTTTCCACATTCTCCCTGGTTCTGCCATGCCTTTCCCAGTTTTCCATCCCTTCTGGTCTTCCATGCTTGTCCTAGTTTTCCATGTTCTCCCTGATTTTCCACACCCTCCTTGGTTTTTCCAAGCTCTCCCTGTTTTTTCCATGCCCTTCTTGGTTTTCCATGCTCATCCTGGTTTTCCATGTTCTCCCTGGTTTTTCCATGCCCTTCCAGGTTTTCCATTCCTTCTGGATTTCCAAGCTCTCCATGGTTTTCCATCCTCTTCCTGTTTTCCATGATCTTCTTGCATTTCCATGTTTGTCCTGGTTTTGGACACCCTTCTTGGTTTATCCATGCTCTCCATTTTTCCACGTTTTCCTTGGTTTTCCATGCTCTCCACAGTTTTCCATGCCCTCCCTGTTTTCCACATTCTCCCTGGTTCTGCCATGCCTTTCCCAGTTTTCCATCCCTTCTGGTCTTCCATGCTTGTCCTGGTTTTCCACGGTCTCCCTGTTTTTCCACACCCCTCTTGGTTTTTCCAAGCTCTCCCTTCTTTCCATGCCCTTCTTGGTTTTCCATGCTCATCCTGGTTTTCCATGTTCTCCCTGGTTTTTCCATGCCTTTCCTGGTTTTCCATTCTTTCTGGTTTTCCAAGCTCTCCATGATTTTCCATCCTCTTCCTGTTTTCCATGACCTTCCTGGTTTTCCATGTTCATCCTGGTTTTGGACACCCTCCTTGGTTTTTCCATGCTCTCCATTTTTCCATGTTTTCCATGTTCTCCCTGTTTTTCTATACCCTCCTTGGTTTTTCCATACCCTCCCTGTTTTCCATGTTCTCCCTGGTTCTTCCATGCCCTTCCTGGTTTTCCATCCCTTCTGGTCTTCCATGCTTGTCCTGGTTTTCCATGTTCTCCCTGATTTTCCACATCCTCCTTGGTTTCTCCAAGCTCTCCACGGATTTCCATGTTCTCCCTGGTTTTCCATGCTCTTACTTTTTCCATTCCTTCTGGTTTTCCCGGCTTTCCTCTTTTTTAATTCCTTCTGGTTTTCCATGCTCTCCATTTTTTCCCCTGCTCTCCCTGTTTTCCATGCCTTCCCTGTTCTTCCATTCCCTCTGGTTTTCCATGCCCTTCCCAGTTTTTCACGCCTTTTCTTGCTCCTCATTGGAGCCAGACCCTGCAGGATTGGGACAGATCCCAAAATTCCCAGATTGGACCAGCTGGGATTTATTTTATCCTGAGCCTCCTCCTGGATTCCCACCTTTGATTCCCGGCACTTCCAGACCATTATTCCCAATCCAAAGGCTCTCTTTTTTTGGTGGGAATTCTTGGGAGCAGAGCCAGACTGGCTCCTTTTTCCCACTTTTCCCCCGTCCCGAATCCTGGGATTCCTCCTTCCACCCTCCCAGCAATTCCCAATTTTCCTGGACAGGGACTGGGAGCAGCGATCCCAGGAGAAGGATCTGGAGGCTGTTCCAGCTCTGATCCCACAATTCCCATGATTTTTTCCGGGAACTGTAGTGCTCATTCCCGTGGATCAAGGAATGGGCTTGAAGCCATTCCAGGGAAAACAGGGGATCCGTCCTCTTCCCATCCTTCACTATTTATTCCGGGAACTGTAGTGCTCATTCCTGTGGATCAAGGAATGGGCTGAAGCCATTCCAGGGAAAACAGGGGATCCGTCCTCTTCCCATCCTTCACTCCGGGTTTTCCTGTGGATCAGCATTCCCAGGATTCGGCTTGGAGCCACTCTCCTTCCCGAGGAACAGTCAGGGAAAGGGACATTCCCAAAGAAAGCTGTGCCGGGCGCTTCCCGCCCCGTTTTCCATGGATCCCAAACACCCCCTGTGCCCTTCCCGACCCTTTCCCTGCCATTCCAATCCCCTTGGAGCAGCAGATTCCCAGCAGGATGCTCCGGGATCCCTCCTGTGCCCAAATCCATCAGCTTGGATGCAGGGAATTGCCCTGGGAGACGTTCCATGGCTTGGGATGGAATTCCAGCCAATTCCACTCCAGCTTCCCTGGATCCATGAGGGGGTGAGGGATGATCCCGGCCTGGAGCTGGGATAAATCCCAAATTCCGGGTCAGAGGGACAATCCCGGTGGATAAAGGCTGGAATTCTGTGGTGTCCTGCCCAAATCCCACAACCCAGGCCAGATCCCGCATGCCAGAGGCCGGGAATTGTGGGAAGAGCCAGGCTGGAGCCGGGAATGGGGGCGGGAATTGTTCCATGCCGTTGATTCTGTGTTTTGTTTCCCATTCCAAGCCTCCATGCGGAGAAGGAAAGGGGGTGAGTGAAACCGAAATTCCCGGGATTCCGCCCCTTCCTGGCAGCTCCCGCTGGGATCCGGCAGGATCCAGACTGGGGGGAGATCCCAACGTCCCGAGGGCCGCTGCTCCTGCAGCGCCTCAGGGAATTCAGCTGGGAATTTGGGAATTTAGGATCGGCTCTGGTGTCCGGGAGCCGCTCCCGTAGGAATTGGAACACCAGGAATTGAAACGCCAGGAATTGAAACGCCAGGGATTGGAATGCCAGGGATTGGAATGCCAGGGATTGGAATGCCAGGAATTATGGGGCCGGGAGTCGGAGCAGCCAAGTGGGATTCTGCTGGGCACGGGCAGAATGCTCCTGTATCCCAAAATTCCCAACCCTGCCATTCCCAGGTGTGATTCCTGCTCCGGGTTTTCCCCACGGGAATGACCCCTGTGGGATCCTCGGGAATGACAGTGTCCAGCTTTATCCCAAATAGCCAAAGCTTCTCCTGGCAGTTCCAGGCAGTTTATCCCGCTATTCCTGGCAGTTCCAGGCAGTTTATCCCGCTATTCCTGGCAGTTCCAGGCAGTTTATCCCGCTATTCCTGCAGTTCCAGGCTGTTTTTCCTGCTATTCCTGGCGGATCCATGTGGATTATCCCGCTGTTCCCACCCTGAGGATGTGCCAGGAATGTCGCATGGGGGCCACAGAAAAACAGGGAAGTTTTTGGTGGAAAGGTTGGATCTGGGTGGGATTGAAGGTCCCTTCCCAGCCAACCCCTCCTGGGAGTTTCTGATCCAGGATTTTCTGTCCTGGTGGTTCCCATTCCGTGTTTGCCACGGAGCTGGGAATGTGGGATCAGCTCTTCCAGCAGGGATCCCACTGGGACAGGGCAGGGAAGAAGCCGAGCAGGAATTACCATGGGAAGTGTCTGAGGGACCTCCCCAACCCTTCCCGGGATCAGGCAGATCCAGAGGGGGCCACTCGAGGATCCCATGGATCAGGAAAATCAGCTGGAGGTTCCCAAGGATTGAGATGGATCCAGGATGCTTTTCTTCCAGAAAAGATTCCAGGGAGAGCTTCCAGCACATTCCAGGCCTGCAGGGGCTCCAGGAGAGCTGCAGAGGGACTGGGGACAAGGGACAGGAGCCAGGGAATGGCTGCCAGTGCCAGAGGGCAGCCATGGATGGGATCTTGGCCATGAGGAATTGCTGGCTGGGCTGGAATTGCCAGAGCAGCTGGGGCTGCCCCTGCATCCCTGGCAGTGCCCAGGGCCAGGCTGGAGAAATGTGGGATCATGGGAACATGTCCCATGGAATGGGATGAGCTTTGAGGTCCTTCCTACCCGGACCATTCCATGACTCCATGTCCCACAATGCCACGGACCAGCCTGGCTTCAGGAGAATCCCAGGGCTACAATTCCCACCTGGACAGAGGTGGAGGTGCCCAGTCCCTCTCCCAGGGCAGGAATTTGGAATACGGATCCAGCTGGATCTGGGAAGCACCATCAGGTGGAGGTGACACGGAGCCAACGGCCCCAGCTTCCCATTCCGTGGGAATTCCGTAGGCTCGGCTCAAGTGAATCCATGTCCACCTCCTGCCTTTTCCATATCCGGAGGTTCAGGATTCCAGCTGGAATTCCCAAGGGAATGGATCCACTGGGACACATCCAGGCACAGCTTGGTGTTCCCAAGGGATAAAAGTGCTGGGGTGGATCCTGGAGCTGGGAATTCCAGTCCCACTCCCCATTCGCTGAGCTCGGACACGGCCATGGTGGCTCTGTCAGTATTCCCGATATCCGTGGGCACCGGATCCTGCCCCGGACACGGAAAGTTGGGATCATCCAGGGAGTCCATTCCACCTGGGAGTATCCCAGTTTATCCCAAACAAACGCTGGATGTGCTGGAGCCGTGTGGATTCCATGGACATCTCCGTGTCCTGGGATTCCCTGGATCTCCCACCCTCCTGGCAGGACTCAGCTCGTCCCAAATACCCAAAATTTGGGATGAACTCACTGGTTAGCGTCAGGCAGAGAATTCCTTGGAATGTAGGGTGGGACAACATCCATGGAATTCCCCGGCTGAGCAGGATCAGCCCCCACAAATCCATGGAAAACCACCGGCTGGGGAGAGGAGCGGCGGGGACGATCCCTCCCTTCTCTGGGATGAGCTGCGGGAAGGGAGCGATCCCAGGGCTGACCGCCGGGGTTTTCCTTGGATTCCAGAGAAGCTGGATGAGATCCTGGCGGCCGCCGAGCCGGCGCTGAGGGCGGAGCTGGTGGAGGCCGATTCCAGGGCGGCCACGGTGAAACAGCGCCCGACCAGCCGCAGGATCACCCCTGCGGAGATCAGCGTGAGCCAGCGGGAATTCCACGGGAATGGGGGCGTGGGATGGGATGGGAACGGGATGGAATGGGATGGGAGAGTCACCCCTGCGGAGATCAGCGTGAGCCAGCGGGAATTCCGCGGGAATGGGGGCGTGGGATGGGGGAATGGAATGGAATGGGATGGGAGAGTCACCCCTGCAGAGATCAGTGTGAACCAGCGGGAATTCCGCGAGAATGGGGGAATGGGATGGGAGCATCACAGATCAGCGTGAGCCAGCGGGAATTCCGCGGGAATGGGGGCGTGGGATGGGGGAATGGAATGGAATGGGATGGGAGAGTCACCCCTGCGGAGATCAGTGTGAGCCAGCGGGAATTCTGCGGGAATGGGGGAATGGGATGGGAGGATCAGAGATCAGTGTGAGTCAGTGGGAATTCCCTGGGAATGTGGGCATGGAATGTGAGAATGAGATGGGAGAGAGCCGCAGGATCACCCCTGTGGAGATCAGTGTGAGCCAGCAGGAATTCCCTGGGAATGGGGGCATGGAATGGGATAGGAGGACATGGAGAGGGATGAGAGGCACTGGGGAGTGGAATTCCCAGGAACAGAGAGTGGAATTCCCAAGGAAGGAAGGAGAGGGGCGGGAGCACATGGAAAGGGATGGGAAGGATCCGGAGGATCTCACTGAGGAGATCAGTGTGAGCCAGAGGGAATCCCACCAGGAATGGGGGCCCGGAATGAGGGAGAGGGATGGGAGGGAATGGGGAGTGGCATTCCCAGGAATGGGGAGTGGCATTCCCGGGAATGGGGAGTGGCATTCCTGGGAATGAGGAGTGGCATTCCTGGGAATGGGGAGTGGCATTCCTGGGAATGGAAGGAGAGGGAAGGGAGCACATGGAGAAGGATGGGAGGGAATGTGGTGCCAAGGGGAGCTGGTTCAGGAGCAGAATTCCCAGGAATGCAGAGCCTGGAGGATTCCGATCCACAGTGGGGCCTCAGCACTCCCTCGGCTGCCCAGGATCCCCATCCAGAGCTGGGAATCCGCATGGATTTCCCAGGGAAGGCTGGAAAAGCAGCTCAGGAGGGGCCTGGAGAGCCAGGCTGGATGCGGGGCTGGAATTCCGCTGGAATCCAAGGGGAAGCGCGGAGGGAGGAGGAGGAGGTGGAGAAGGAGGCTCAGGATTGTGCCGGGAATGCTGCGGGTGGGAGGCAGCTCCGGGAAAAGCGGGACAGGAGCTCCCGGAGCCATCCTCACTGGATTCCTCACTGGAGCAGGCAGGGATATGGGATGGGACCCCGGGAATTATCCCAAAGTTTGGAATTCTGGATGGAGCAGCAGGAAGGTGGAGGCGAGGAGGGTCCATCCCGTTGGGAAGAGCTCCCATTTTCCCATGGTTGGAAGTTCGGGTGGGAATGTCGGGTCCTTCCGGCAGCATCCGGACTGGGAATTCCCTGTTTTTCCCTTCCAGTCCCTGTTTGAGCGCCAGGGAATGGCGCATCCCGGGGTCCTGGCGGGAACGGAGAAGCCCCACGTGTCCCTCCGGAAGGGAATTCCACGGACCAAGTCAGTAGGTGAGGAAAAACCCAGGAGAATCCCTTGGGAACGGGGAGGGAGGGTCCCTGCGGGATGCGGAGTGGGCGGGAAAGGCTCGGCCCTTCCCAGGTCGCTCCAGCCCTTGGATTTTGGAGTATTCCATGGAATTCCATGGAATTCCGGCTCGGAGGGATGCCTGGTCCTGCTCGGAGCAGAAAATGGGACTGGGGAATTCCAGGAGAGAATCTTGGGAGAGAATTCCAGGAATTCCCGGATCGGCCCTGCCAAGGGCAGGGGGGCTCTGCCACCCCCAGTGCTGGCACTGGGCATTCCCGGCAGGAATGGCACCTCTGGAACTGGGAATGCTGGAGTTGGGGCTTAGGAGGCGCAGGACAAAGTCTGGATGAGGCACCTGGATTTGGGGGATCCTTGAGCTTATCCCAAAAGATTTGTGGAGGCTCCAATTCCAAAACCATCTCTGGTGGGTTCTTGATTCTGTTCCCAAAGATTTCTGGTGCCACCAAACCCAAAATCCATCTGTGGGAAGTCCTTGGCCCCATTCCAGAAGGGTTTTGGTGCCACCAAACCCAGACCTGGCTGTGGTGGATCCTTGAGCTTATCCCAAAATATTTATGGAGTCTCCAAACCCAAAATCCGTCTGTGGGATGTCCTGGACCATGTCCTGAAGATTTTTGGTGCCACCAACCCCAAACCAGCTGTGGTGGGTCCTGGACCTTGTCCCTAAAGATTTCTGGAGTCTCCAAACCCAAAACAATCTGTGGTGCGTTCTTGATTCTGATCCCAAAGATTTCTGGTGCTACCGATTCCAAAATCCATTTGTAGGTAGTCCTTCACCCCATTCCAGGATTTTGGTGCTACCAAACCCAAAATCCACCTGTGGTGGGGCCTGGACCTTGTCCCTAAAGATTTCTGGAGTCTCCAATTCCAAAACCATCTCTGGTCAGTTCTCGATTCTGTTCCCAAGTTTTCTGATGCCACCAAACCCAAAATCCCTCTGTGGGAAGCCCTTGACCTTGTTCCAAAGGTTTATGGTGCCACTGAATCCAAAATCCACCTGTGGTGGGTCCTGGACCTTGTCCCTAAAGATTTATGGAGTCTCCAAACCCAAAATCCATCTGTCCCAAACCTTGTCCCAAAAGTTTATGGTGCCACCAATCCCAAACCAGTTTTTGTGGGTCCTGGACTTTGTCCCTAAAGATCTATGGAGTCTCCAAACCCAAAACCATCTGTGGTGGATCCGTAATCTGGGAATTCTGTGCTCACACCCCCATGAGAATTCCCAGCACATCCCGGTTATCCCTGACTTTCCCAGCAATTCCCAGCCCATGCAGCCAAATCCCCCCCTGGAAAAAAGGGATTAAAACCATTCCTTGAATCTCCATCAAACCCCAGTGGGAGAATCCCTGCTCCAGGCAGGAATGGCTGCAGCTGCCTCTGCACATCCCGACCAAAAATCCAGGGAAAAATCCCACCCAGGAGCACCAGATCCATCCCCACAGCGGGACAACCCCTGGAATGGAGGGGACCCAACCCAAAGCCCAAAGCAGCTCCTGGAAGAAACCATTCCCCTGGAATTCCAGGAAAACGGGGATGGAAAAGAGGCGGAGAGGGAGGAATCGGGTGGGAATGGGGCTGGAATTAGAAGTCCTTGAGCTGTCATTCCACACCCACGGCCGGGAGCTGCGCAGTCACTTGATTCCCGGGGAAAAATCCCTGCACGGGTGAGGAAGGAGAGGGAAAAGCAGCGCTCGGATGGGTTTTTTTGGGAATAAATATTCCCTGGCATTTGCGTATTCCAGCAGCACTGCAGATTCCCAGGGAGAAAAGATCAAAAAGATTCCGGGGGAAAAAATTTCTCGGGATAAAGGTGGTTAACCCCCGGCTGGCTGGAATAAAAAGAGGGAGGAAAGATCAAAAAGATTCCAGGAAAATTTCCCGGGATAAAGGTCGTTAACCCCTGGCTGGCTGGAATCAAAAGTGGGTGAAAAGATCAAAAAGATTCCTGGAAAAATTCCCTGAGAAAAAAAGCAAGGATGGGAGGAAAATGATAAAAAAAGCAGGATGGGAGGAATATTTGGAGGAAAAAGGGAAGGAGTGGGGGGAAGGGGAGGGGAGATAATTCCTGTCAGACTTCCAAGATTTCTGCCAGCGCCATCTGCTCCGGCAGCAGAGTTAAAAACACTCCGGAGACTGCGGAGCTGCCATGGCTCCCGGAGAGAATTCCAGAGGGTGGAGCCGCTGCCTTGGGAGGGATTTGTGACCCCTCAGGACCACCGGGAATATTGGGGGGGGGGAAGTGTCCTGGTGTTAAAGAGATCTCTGGGATGGAATCCTGGAATGGTTTGGGTGGGAAGGATCCTTGAGATTCCCAAATTCCATCTCATTCCAGGGGCAAGGACACTTCCCGCTCTCCCAGGGTGCTCCCAGGGTGATCCAGGGATCCGGGGCAGCCACAGCTTCTCTGGGAATCCTGGGCCAATCCCGGGTGCCAGAGGTTGGAGATTCCCACCCCTGGACACCCAAAACTGGAGATTCCCATCCCTGGGTGCCACAGGACGGAAATTCCCACCCCTGGACGCCACAGGACGGAGATTCCCTTTCCTGGGCACCAAAGGATGGAAATTCCCCTCCCTGGGCTCCAGAGGATGGAGATTCCCAACCACAGATACCAAAAATTGGAGATTCCAATTCCTGGGTACCAGAGGACGGAAATTCCTATCCTTGAATGCCACAGGACAGAAATTCCTATCCCTGGATACCAAAAATTGGAGATTCCAATTCCTGGGTACCAGAGGATGGAAATTCCCATCCCTGAATGCCACGGGGCAGAAATTCCCATCCCTGGATACCATAGGACAAAGATTCCCATCCCTTGCCACCAAAGGATGGAGATTCACATCCCTGGGCTCCAGAGGATGGAAATTCCCATGCCTGGATGCCAAAAATTGGAAATTCCCATCCCTGGGCTCCAGAGGATGGAGATTCCCTCCCCCTTCCCACTCCAGTATTTGCACCCTCCTGCTCCAGGTGCTTTTTTGGGATTCACTCCCTCATCCCAGCCCTATCCATCCTAAGGATTGCATGGAATGAGATTTTCCAGGGGAGCTTTCGTGTGGAGGCTTTGTGTTTTCCATGGAGATTAATTCCATGGAGTGCACCAGGAATGGCTCCGGGGGTTGCCAGGCTACACTGGGAGCGCCATTCCCATTCCAGGGGATTCATTCCAGGGAATGCTGGGAGTTGGTCCTTACTGGTCCTTACTGGTGGCTCTGTTTGGATTCCAGTTCTTTATTCCCGAGCTCTGGAATTTGATCCCAGGGATGTCCTGGTGTTCCGTGGGAAGAGCAGGAGTCTCCCATGGCCCCGGGTGGGGACTGAGGGGAGCAGAATTCCGTGGAAAACAGCAAAGCAATGGCTTGATTTGGGGTTGAAAATTCCTGGGAACAGGAGGACATTGGGGTTACTTTTCCCAGAGGATATTCCCACTTCTCCCATCCCTCCTGAGAGCCTGGAGCAGCTCCCAAAATTCCAGATTCACCGGGAAGTTGAAGGCTTGGACACACTGTGCTTTCCTGGGACACAGGGAACAAGGATTGAGATCCAGGCTTGGGTCGTGGAATCCTGGAATGGTTTGGGTGGGAGTCCTGGAATGGTTTGAGTGGGAATCCTGGAATGGTTTGAGTGGGAATCCTGGAATGGTTTGAGTGGGAATCCTGGAATGGTTTGGGTGGGAGTCCTGGAATGGTTTGGGGACCTTAATCCCATCCCATTCCCACCCCTTCCATGGGCAGGGACACATTCCACCATCCAGGATTTCTCCAACCCAGCCTTGGACGCTTCCCAGGATCCAGGGGCAGCCACAGATTCTCTGGGAATTCTGTCTCCTTTTAGGGATCTTTCCTGACGGATCTTTGAGGATCCTTCAGGAATCTTTTCCGATGACAAATTCCCTTGGGAATTCCAGGAGCATCTCCAGGGTCCAGGTGCTGCAGGGGTGGAGCCCAATCCCAAAATTCCACACCTGATCCAGACCCCAGCATTCCAGGCTGCTCCCTGGGGATCGCTGGTGGTTTTTGTTTCACTCTGGAGATTCCCAGGCAGAATTCCATGAAAAGTAAATAAAGCTCACTTCTGGAGCATCCATGCTGGGAATAAACAGATCCTGCTTTTCCATGCTCCTTGAAATTCCTGGCAGGAATTCCCTCCTCTCCTGAGGTTCTGTAGGAATTTGGCCACGGGAGCCGGGATGGGGGAAGGATTTGGGCAGGAGGGGACAACAACAGCCCCGGAATTTGGGAAAAACCTTCCCTAAACCCAGCAACTCCACTGGAATTCCAAAGGATCTGCTGGGAGCAGCTCAGCAGAGAAGGATCTGCTGGAAAACTTTATCCCTGAGGCTGGTGGGATCCAGGGATGGATTGGGAAGAGCATTCCTGGCAGGACAGGGAGTGCTGGATCTGGGTTTGGGATCCAGGGATGGATTGGGAAGAGCATTCCCAGCAGGACAGGGAGCACTGGATCCAGGTCTCGGATCCCCAGGCCAAGAGGGACATGGAGCTCCTGGAGCAGATCATGGAGGGATGAGAAGATGAGGAAGGGACAAGACATGGAATTGTTGGAGCAGGTCCAGAGGAGGAACAGGATGATCCAAGGCTGGGAAAATTGGGATTGTCCAGCCTGGAGAAGGGAAAAAGAGAAAAATCTGGGGTGACCCAGCTGTGACCTTCCAGGACCTGCAGGAGCTCCAGGAATGGCTGCCAGTGCCAGAGGGCAGCCGTGGATGGGATGCTGGCAATGAGGAATTGCTGGCTGGGCTGGAATTGCCAGAGCAGCTGGGGCTGCCCCTGATCCCTGCAGTGCCCAGGGCCAGGCTGGACACTGGGGCTGGAGCAGCTGGGACAGTGGGAGGTGTCCCTGCCCTTGGAATGGGACAGGATTAGGATGGGATTTGAGTTTTCTTCCCACCCAAACCATTCCACGATTTTTCCGTGGAAAGAACATCCGGACTCTGGAGGCTGTGGAATCTCCTTCCCTGGAGATATTCCCAATCCAGCCGGACACAGCCCTGGGGAACACTCCCAACGTCATCCCCAATGGTTCCTCCCCCATTCCATGGTGGCTCCGAGCTCCCTTTTCCAGGGAGCCCTGCTCAGATCCAGGGAGCAATTCCAGGATCTGGGAGCAGAGCTGCTGCCGAGGTCACGCCCAGGGTGACTCAGCCACTCCTCCTGGGAATGGCTGGAAAACCGAGGGATGACCCAGGAATGATCCCATGGCTGTGGCTCAGCCGCTGCCACAGGGAGCTGCTCCAGGCCAGGAATGCCAGGTGGGAATGAACATGGAATTCCTGGGATGTGCTGTTCCGTAGTGTCCCTTCTGCTTGGCAATTCCTTGGATGTGGTTTTCCATAGCATTCCCTGCCTTTGGATGTGGTTTTCCATGGTGCTCCCTGCCCTTCCCAATGCCTTGGGTGTTGTTTCCCATAGTATTCCCTACCTTTGGCAATTCCTTGGATTTGGTTCTCCATAGTATTTCCTGAATGTGGCAATTCCTTGGATGTGGTTTTCCGTAGCGCCCCTGCCCTTGGCAGTTCCTGGGATTTGGTTTTCCATAGTATTCCCTACCTTTAGCAATTCCTTGGATGTGGTTTTCCCATGGTATTCCCTTCATTTTGCAATTCCTTGGATTTGCTTTTCCATAATTTTCCCTGAACATGGCAACTCCTTGGATTTGCTTTTCCATAGTTTTCCCTGCATTTGGCAGTTCCTTGGATGTGGTTTTTCCATGGTATTCCCTACATTTGACAATTCCTTGGATTTGGTTTTCCATAGTATTCCCTACCTTTGTCAGTTCCTGGGATGTGATTTTCCAGTGTCCCTTCCACTTGGCAATTCCTCGGATGTGATTTTCCACAGTGTCCCCGCCCTCGGCAATTCCTGGGATGTGGTTTTTCCATGGTATTCCCTGCATCTGGCAATTCCTGGGATGTGGTTTTTCCATGGTATTCCCTGCATCTGGCAATTCCTGGGATGTGGTTTTCCATAGTGCCCCCTCCTCATTCAGGGAAAAATGGAGGAGAGCTGGATCCAAGGCCTGGATGTCCCAGTGTCACCCCTGATCCAGCAGCCACGCCCAGGACATCCCAGAGGGAAGATCCCGCTTTCCCACTGGATTTCCTGCCCATTCCTGCTGGATACCACATTCCCAGGACAAGCTCCCCTCCTCCATGTCCTGGGACATTCCAGGCCCGGGGATGGTGCTCAGAGCTTCCCAAATATCCCTGCCACCTCCCAGCCATTCCCAAAAATCTCAGAAAGGCAGGACTGGGGGTTATTTTGGGATCTTCCTGCTGCTCCCAGAACATTCCACGGCTCCATCTAGTGCAGGATCCCAGATTCCCAAGGAAAAAAGGGCAAGGACGGGATCATTCTTCCAAATTCCCCCTGCTGGCCTCGGCTCCAGGATTTTAAAAAAGCTTGGGAAAGGCACATTTTCCATGGCTTTGTCCAGGCTCCCTTTGAACCCGTTCCGTGCTGCCGGTTCTTTATTCCCACGGCACATCCCCAATTCCCAAAAATAGCCCAGTTTCCAGCACGACCAACAGCATGGGATGGAATTTCAGTGCCAAATTCCTCCCTTTTGTCCCCATTGGATTCTGCCTCGGGTGGAATCGCTGACGGATTCCGGGCGGAGCTGCCAGAGCCTCTCGGTGCCACTGGAAGAGCGTTTTCCATAAAGGAAAATTCGCTCCAGAGGCCAAAAATAAAAAAGCCCAAATCCTCTCCGGAGCCATTTGAAAGCTTGGGAAGAGCAGAGCAGGGATTGGGAAGGAGGAATTTTCCCTAAGGACAGGTGAGCACGGCGGATCCGGGCTTGGGAATGAGGCTGGAGCTGGGAATGGAGGGGGGGAAGGAATTGTGGCGTGAATGGATTTTCGGATCACGGAATGGCTCGGGCTGGGAAGGCCCTTAAATCATCCCAATCCACCCCTGATTTGTTCCTGCTTTTCCATCCAAATCCTCGCAGCGTCTCCGAGTATTCCCTGAAAAAGCAGGAATTCCTGCTAGACCCTGCCGGGCTCAGTCTGGCACTCGGGAACAGATGTCACCCCTCGGGAAAGCGGGAAGTGTGACGGGAGCCGCGCCCGTGCCGGTGGCACTCGGATGTCTGGCACGTTGGCGGTGGCGGCGCTTCCGTCACCGGAGCTGCTCGGGAAGGGGTGGGAACAACTCCCGGGGGAGCTGATCCCACGGGAACGTGGCTGTGGGGAGGGGAGGCTCTCACGGAACTGTGGAATGGTTGGGATTGGGGTGAGCTGGAAGCTCATCCCATTCCCAGCCTTTCCATGGGACACCTTCCACTATCCCAGGGTGTCCAACCTGGCCTGGGGCACTTCCAGGGATCCGGGGGCAGCCACAGATTTCCTGGGAATTCTGGCTGGTTCCTCCAGTCTCCGAGCTTCCACTGGAAGTTGCTCCAAGCCTTTTTGAGTGAGGCTTGGAAAGAGGAAAAGTCTCAGGAGCAAAGTGGGGTGGGAAGAACAACCCCAGCCACTTCCCAGTTTGTCCCAGTTTGTCTGGGAATTCTCTGGGAATGTCCTCTTCACTGCTCTCCTTGTTTTCCAGGGGAAGGCAAGAAACTCACCCCTGGTTTCATTATTTTCCTTGTTTTCCAGGGGAAGATGAGAAACGTCTCCCTGACTCCATTCTTTTCCTTCATTTCCTGAGACAAATTTGTCCCTGACTTCACTTCTCTCCTTGTTTTCCTTGGGAAGACAAGAAATTCATCCCAGATTCCATTGTTTTCCTTGTTTTCCAAGTGGAAGATGAGGAATTCATTCTGACTTTGTTCTTTTCCTTGTTTCCTGTGTACAGACCAGAAACTCATCCCTGATTCCATTTCTCTCCTTGTTTTCCAGGTGGAAGATGGGAAAATTCTCCCTGACTCCAGTCTTTTCCTTGTTTTCCAGGTGGGAGACCAGAATCTCATCCCTGACTTTAGTTCTCCTTGTTTTCCAGGGAAAGACAAGAAACTTCTCCCTGATTCCATTCTTTTCCTCGTTTTCCAGGTGGGGACCAGAAACTCAGCCCTGACTTTGCTCTTTTCCTTGTTTTCCGTGTGGAGATGTGAAGCTTCTCCTTGACTCCAGTTCTCTCCTCGTTTTCCAAAGAATTCCTCCCTGACTTTGTTCTTTTCCTTCTTCCAAGGGAAGACAAGAAACTCCTTCCCTGACTTTACTTCCCATTTTCCAGCTGGAGACCAGAAACTCATCCCTGATTCCATTGAATCCCTTGCTTTCCAGATGGAGACCAGAAACTCATCCCTGACTTCAGCTCTCCTTGTTTTCCAGGGAAAGACAAGAAACTTCCCCGTTTTCAATTCTTTTCCTCATTTTCCAGACGGAGACCAGAAACTCATCCCCTCTCCCCTATTTTCCTTGGGAAGACAAGAAACTCATTCCTGGTTTCAGTTTTTTCCTTGTTTTCCGGGTGGAGACCAAAAACTCATCCCTGACTTCAGTTCTCCTTGTTTTCCAGGTGGAAGATGGGAAAATTCTCCCTGACTCCACTCTTTTCCTCGTTTTCCAGCCGGAGACCAGAATCTCACCCCCGACTCCCCCGTTTTCCTTGTTTTCCAGGGGAAGACGAGAAACTGGCCGCGTCCTTGCTGGACGGGAAGTTCCCGCGGAGCACCTCCATGACGGACACGGTCCGGGAAGGCCACGGGATCCCCCCTCCCCCGCAGACCGCCCCTCCCCCGCC